GGCGTTTGTTCTTTTGTGACGGGCTTATTTCACTTAGCATAAGGTCTAAGGTTCAACCATGTTGTAACTTGTCAGAAGGTCCTTTCTTTTAAGGGTAACATTCCATTGACCACATAAATACCGTTATTTTTATTCAAAGAAAGAAGTCCACAAGCACCGACTTGGAACGAGCTGTGCATCTGGAGTTTTTCCGTGGGTTTGACATCAGTGGTCCCTGCTGACGCATAAGCAGTTCTCCCTGAGCCTGTCTGGGGCTCTCCTCCTCCTTCCTCCACCACGAGTCATCTTGGCCTCTCCTGGGCAGAGGTGAGGGAGGAAGGCGAGGCCCTGTGGGTGCTGCGTGGGGTCAGGGGCTGCTGCCATGTGGCTCTGTGGCCTCCCAGGGTGCTCGGTCCAACCCGTCTTCTCGTTGACCCACATGGGGCCCGGGCATGACTGGACGCGCCCCCAGGCTTCTCCTGGCACTATCTGGGTTCAGGCCGCAGAAAGGGCAGACTGTGGGACTCTGGGCTGGAGCCGCAGAGCACGAGCAGCCCCTGTGGGACCCAGGCACGTCCTCAGGCAGCCTGGCCCCTCGGAACCACGTCAGCCCTGAGGTGCCTGAGTGGACACCGAGGGGAGGCCCCCCACACGGGCTCTGCAGGCAGTGCTGGGGCGGGACCCTGCACCCACCCGGCCAGGGCTGCCCTGCACTTCTCCTCTCTGAGGGGTGTGGAACGGGAAGCTGTAGCGTGGAGGGAAGCGGACGAGAGTTTCTGCTGCGTGTAGATTTCTAGTGAGGAACATGCAGTAGGTCACTGCTGCAGTCGGGGGCGTTCCCTTCCGTGTCGGGGAGGTCCGGGTGGCAGGCAGTGCGGCCCGTGCCTCTGTTCTCCCTGATTTCCAGTCAGTTCCTGAGAAAATGGGTGGCGTCTCCAGCCGCCATTGGGGATTGGCCTGCAGTTGTTTCCATGTGTCTGTGGAACTGGCCGAACACCCACTGTGGATGCCCGAGCCCGGAGACAGTACTGGACCCTGCGTAGTCTCTGTTTTCGTACTTGCATACCAGTGATAAACTTTAATTTGTAAATTAGGCACGGTGAGAGATTACAACAGCGATAATAGAACAGTTGTCTAACAATATACTGTCATAAAAGTCGTGTAAATGTGGTCTTTCTCTCTCAGAATACGTTGTGGTACCGTGCTCACCCTTTGGTGCCCGCCGTGAGATGGCAGAGAGGTGAGCGGAGCAGGTATTGTGATGCAGCCTTAGGCTGCCGCTGACCTCGACCAGCAGCCTGGCGATACCGCCCCAGTCCCGTGCTGGCGACCCAGCCGGCTGCTGCGTTCTCCCCCGCAGGTCGCACATGCAGCGTGGACACGCTGGACAAGGGGATGGTTCATGGCCCAGGCCGGGGGAGCAGGACGGCCTGAGAGTTTATCACCCTACTTAGAACAGCGCACAGTTTAAAATTTACGGATTGTTTGTGAATGGAGTTTTCCGTTGAATATTTGTGGAGTGCAGTTGACCTCGGGTAATTGAAATCACAGAAAGTGAAACAGATTCAGGGTTGGCTACGGCATTTCTCCTTCCAGCTCTGTCAGCTTTTGCCTGGTGTAATGGGAAGGAAGGCTTTTGGCCGGTGCATTCACATTTAGGATTGTTCAGCTCCTTGGGGAGCTGACCCCTTCCTTCTCCCTCTCTGATGAGTTCCTTGCTCTGAGGCTGGCTGTCTCTGGTGCTGACATAGCCGCCCAGCTTCCTTTTGGCCAGCGCTTGCCTGGTTCACCTTTTTCCCCTTTTGCTTTCAACTTACCTACCTGTATCAGTATATTTGAAGTAAGTTTCTTGTAGATGCAATATAGTTGGGTTAGGATTTTATTTATCTATTCTGACAACCTCTTCTAATTGGTGTTTTTAGATTATTATGATAATATAATTATCAATGTGTTTTGATTCAGGTCTACCATTTTATTATCTGACTTCTGTTAGATCACTATCGTTATCATTGCTTTATTTCCTTTTAGGTTTTTAAAAACATTTTGTAGTCTGTTTTAATTTATTCTAAATTATCTATATGTTATCTATTTTGTTTTGGATAGCTTTTTTTAAAGAGTATTTTGGCCGGGCTCGGTGGCTCAAGCCTGTAATCCCAGCACTTTGGGAGGCTGAGACGGGCAGATCACGAGGTCAGGAGATCGAGACCATCCTGGCTAACCCGGTGAAACCCCGTCTCTCCAAAAAAAATACAAAAAACTAGCCGGGTGAGGTGGCGGGCGCCTGTAGTCCCAGCTACTCGGGAGGCTGAGGCAGGAGAATGGCGTAAACCCGGGAGGCGGAGCTTGCAGTGAGCTGAGATCTGGCCACTGCACTCCAGCCTGGGTGACAGAGCAAGACTCCGTCTCAAAAAAAAAAAAAAAAAAAGAGTATTTTAATTTTTTTTTTTTTTAAAGAGACAGGATTTCACCGTGTTGCCCAGGCAGGCTTTGAAATCCTGGGCTCAAGCGATCCTCTCTCCTCAGCCTTCCAGTGGCTGGGACTGCAGCGCCTGGCTGCACCGCTCTTCAGTAAGTCGCTCTAAGGATTTCGAAGTCCATGCTTATTAACATTTCACATTCTGCTTCGGATCTGAAAAGTCTGCTTTTCACTACTTCCAGTGGGACATAGAAATCTTACCCCATCCAGGTTTACCCTCTTCCTTTTATGTTACAGTTGTCTTGTTTATATGATTTATACAATTATATTCCTAGAAATAGTTTATAATTTACATGTGACGTTTCTGTGTAATTTACACTTACGTACACTGGAAGGCCCATCAGACAAGACTTTGATTTTCGCTTTTGACCGCCAAGCACTTTGGAAGAGCTATGAGGTCGTTGTGTGTCCCGCGCCCTGGCTGCTTACCCTGCCTGCTGCCTCTGCTTCGTGGTTCCGCCTCCCTTCCTGTCAGCCTGAGCCGCTGGCCTGGCTGGCGTGTTCTCCGTTTTCCTCCTCTGCCCACGTCCTGGCTTCACCTGCCTTCTGGAAGACGCATTCCCGCCTTGAGGGAGGATCCCGAGTTGGCACCTCCCCGCTGTAGGCTTAGGCACGTTGTGCCCGCCCTCCGGCCTGCCTGGTGCCCGGGAGAAGTCCACGGCCCTCCCGCTGTTGCTCTGTGCTCTGCCGTGTCACATTTCTCCAGCTGTTTTCAAGATCCGTTTTCCTTTATCTTTAGTTTTCAGCCGTTTGACCGTGACGTGTCTGGGTGTGGATTTCTTGAGTTTGTCTTGTTTGGGATCCATAGAGCTTCTTGAATCTGTAGGCAAAAGACATTCTCCAAATTCAGGGTGTTTTCTGTCATTTTTTTCAGCTGTTTTTCATCACTGCTTGCTTTCCCCTTTTCCTTTGCCACTCATGACACAGATGTTAGACCTTTTCTCTTGTCCCGAAGGTCCCCCAGATTTTTTCAGTCTTTTTTCTCTCTGGTATTCAGATGAGAAAACTTACATTGCTCCATCTTCAAGTTCACCGAATCTTTCCCGATTTTTTTTTTTTTTAACATTTCAGTAGTGTGTCTTTTAGTTTTGAAATTTCCATTTGGTTCTTCTTTATATCTTGCTTTTGTTTGCCTGTTGCTGATTTCCATTTTTTCATTCATTTTGGGAGTGTTACGATCCTTAGAGCCTTTCACGGCACAGTAGTTGCTTTAAAGTCGGGCGGATAATTGCAACACCTGTGTTATTTTGGGATCTGTTCACTGTCTTTTCCTGTAGGAGCGCAGACGTTCCTCGTTGTTTGTGTGCTGAGTAATATGGACTGTAAATGGATGGCTGGATGTTATGATGTGAGATCTGGGTCTTGTTAAAAGCCTAGGAGGATGTTGGTATTTTGATTTTAGTAAGCAAACACCCTGAGGAGACTCGGGCTGTGGTTCTGACTTGCCTTCAGTGGGTGGCAGCTCCGTGTCAATTCTGGCTTCACAGCCCCCTGCACTGCCACTTGGACCTGTCCCATGTGTGCCGCTGTGGCCGTCTGGCTGTGGTCTCGGGGTTTGGGGTGTGAAGAGGGTCAGATCCACACCCCTGCAGCTTGAGGATGGGCTTGAAGCTTGTGAGCAGTTTTGTCAGCTGGCTCTTCTGAGCTGCTTCCTCTCCGCACGGCCACTGGGGCTTCCTGGGTCCCTGGAGCTTCCCTCCTCCACCCTCAGCCAGTGTACCGGGACCAGCTGCCTGTCCTGCTGTGCGCCTCCACGCCTGCCCCCCTGCTGGAGGAGGGATTTGGGGCTCCTTCTGTTCAGTGTCTCCTCCAGGCCACCTGCAGCTTTCCTTCATAGAATGCCGCTCAGCTGCCCCTGGTCCTATCCCGGAGCAGAGCTGCTCCTGAGTACCCTTGAGACTAAAGCAGAATTGGCAGAAGGCAGATTGCCCCCTCTCCCTGAACCTGGCACTGAAGGTGTGTTTAGACGATGTCTGCCTTCATTTCTGTACCTCTGCTCCAGCTGTGCTGTGGCACTTTCTGTCCCCGGCGGCAGCCCCGTACTCCTTGTAATCTCAGCCTGTCTGTGCAGCTAGACAGCTGGTGTTGGGTGGCAGGGAGCTGGTCTTTTCCATGTCAGGCCCTGGTGTGTTTAGAGGCACCGGGTGGGAGGTGGCTGCATTCGGGGGGGTCTGCTGGGCGGATGTGGTGTTGGAGAGGCACTGCCGCTCCAGCACTGGGAGGGAGTTGTCAGACCCTCCAGAGTGTCCTCAGCACCAGCAACTCAGGACGGCGGCCCCTGCGGTGGGGAGGGTGGCGGGAACCACGTCCCCACACTGTGACCCTCCTGGAGGCCAGGAGAGCCTGTTCTCAGCAAGTGCGAAAGGAGAAGCTGCACAGGGCCTCCCATCCCACTGGCCCGCATGCCCTGAGAGACACGCGACTCCCAAGGACTGATCATGCCCGCGGCAGCATCCCCAGTGCCCTCAGGGGGCGGCAAGGGGTTAGAGGCCTGGGTACCCCACCTCGAAGCTTGTCGGCTGCCCCCTCCTCCTCCTCCTCACAGAATAGGGGTCCTTGTGTGTTGTTCCAGCCCAGGATGGCAGCCCAGGTGACTCTGGAGGACGCTCTGTCCAACGTGGACCTCCTGGAGGAGCTGCCCCTGCCCGACCAGCAGCCCTGCATCGAGCCCCCGCCATCCTCGCTGCTTTACCAGGTGGGTGCCCAGCAGCTGCGGGGTGTACAGCCTGTGCTCCGACCCCACATGACGGTTTTTCTCTTCCTTTCAGCCAAATTTCAACACTAACTTTGAAGACAGAAATGCGTTTGTTACGGGCATCGCAAGATACATCGAGCAAGCCACCGTCCACTCTAGCATGGTAATGTTGCTGTGCGTCTTCGTTTCTCTCTGCAGGGAAGGGCACGTTTGAAGGGCAGATGGATACTTTTTGGTATTATCCCAATCGACTATGCAGTAAGGAAAAAGAGTAGAAAATGAATGAAATGCCTTATATTTTTAGGATAGTCTTTGTTTTTCTTAGTATAAAAGCAATACACGCTCTTTCTGAAAATTCAGTGTCTCTGGCCCAGAGAAAACCTTTGTCAGCGTTTCGAGGGCGCCCCTGCCCTGTTAATGCTCTTTCCCCCTCCAGATCTGCACCCACTTACACCAGGTATGCACCCATGTGAGAGTCAGATTTATAAACGAACTACATTGTTACTATAGTTCTGCATTTTTTTTTTTTTTTTTTGAGACGGAGTCTCGCTCTGTCGCCCAGGCTGGAGTGCTGTGGCCGGATCTCGGCTCACTGCAAGCTCCGCCTCCCAGGTTCACGCCATTCTCCTGCCTCAGCCTCCCGAGCAGCTGGGACTACAGGCGCCCGCCACCTCGCCCGGCTAGTTTTTTGTATTTTTTAGTAGAGACGGGGTTTCACCGTGTTAGCCAGGATGGTCTTGATCTCCTGATCTCGTGATCCGCCCGTCTCGGCCTCCCAAAGTGCTGGGATTACAGGCTTGAACCACTGCGCCCGGCCTGCTTTTTTTTTTTTTAGAGACAGAGTCTTGCGCTGCCACCCAGGCTGGAGTGCAGTGGCGCGATCTTGGTTCACTGAAACCTCTGCCTCCCAGGTTCAAGCAGTTCTTGTGCCTCAGCCTCCCGAGTAGCTGGAACTACTGGCGCCCACCACTACGCCCGGCTAATTTTTGTATTTTTAGTAGAGACAGGGTTTCGCCATGTTGGCTGGGCTGGTCTTGAACTCCTGACCTCAGGTGATCTACCCACCTCAGCCTCCCAAAGTGCTAGGATCATAGGCATGAGCCACCACACCCAGCTAGTTCTGCATTTTAATGATCTCATGAACATTTTTTTTTTTTTTTTTTTTTTTTGAGGCAGGGTCTGACTCAGGTTGCCCAGGCTGGAGTGCAGTGGCGTGATTAGGGCTCACTGCAGCCTCAACCTCCCGGGCTCAGGCAATCTTTCCACCTCAGCCTCTTGAGTAGCTGGGACTACAGTCACACACCACCACGCCCAGCTACTTTTTTGTATTTTTTGTAGAAGCAGGTCTCACTGTGTTGCCTAGGCTGTCTCGAATTCCTGGATTCAAGGAATCTGCAATCTGCCCACCCAGCCTCCCAAAGTACTGGGATTACAGGCCTGAGCCGCTGCGCCTGGACAAGAATATTTTCATGCCATGAAAATGTGCTGGAGAAAGCAATCCTTAATGGCTATGTAAACCATTTTGTAAATGTCCACAATTCAACTATTTTTGCACATTTACTTCATTTCCTCTTTTATGTCATATAACAAAAAATTGCTGTAGGCCGGGCGCAGTGGCTCACACCTGTAATCCCAGCATTTTGGGAGGCCAAAGTGGGCAGATCACCTGAGGTCAGGAGTTCGAGACCAGCCTGGCCAACGTGGTGAAACCCTGTCTCTACTGAAAAAAAAAATACAAAAACTAACTGGGCATGGTGGTGCACGCCTGTAATCCCAGCTACTCGGGAGGCTGAGGCAAGAGAATTGCTTGAACCCAGGAGGTGGAGGTTGCAGTGGGCTGAGATCGTGTCACTGCACTCCAGTCTGGGTGACAGAGCGAGACTCGTCTCAAAAAAAAAAAAGCTGTGACGAACATCTCTTTAATGTGATGAACATCTCTCTAAATATAGGCTAGATTTAAGAGCATCTATTTGATTTTTGCCAAAGGAAATGATGTTAAAGAGTAGAAAGCAAAAGCAGTTTTATAGCAGCGATGACAGTCCTCTTCCCATGGACTCTCCACCTAGATTTTAAGTGCTAAAAATCTAAACTATAAAATCCTCACTATTCCTCCCGCACACCTGGGGCAGCCCTGCCTCTAGTCCTCTCTGGGACTGGGAGGCCCTGTGAGCCGGTGAGGAGGGAGACCATGGGGACCCTGCATGTGCTCACACTGGGCAGGGCGTCTGCCCGGAGCCCTTCCTCTGTGCTCCCGACTGCAGGTCTCATGGCCAGCGATGGTTTCGGGCTGGGCGGAGCCAAGGTGGAATGCCTGTGGCCCCCCCAGAGATGCCGCGTGTTACTGACACCCCCTCGCCTGCAGAAGCCCTGCGGTGTCTGGGGTGGTCATTGTGGCCCCCAGCGCTGCACCTCAGTGCGACCAGCTTCTCGGCAGCCGTCTCTTGGCACACAGGCCACAGTGCTTAGGATAGTTCATGGTGCTTTGTCTAGATTTTAGCAACTGGCATCTGCTTTTCATGCTGGTTCCCCCTCCTGCCTTTGATTTGCCCTGTGTTCCGTTGCAGAACGAGATGCTGGAGGAGGGCCAAGAATATGCTGTCATGCTGTACACCTGGAGGAGCTGCTCCCGGGCCATCCCGCAGGTGCCCCGCTCACCTGTCTCTTCCCTCCCCACACCCTGCCAGGCCCCACCCCGCCCCGCCCCTGCAATGCCTGGCGCACTCTCCTCCCGGGTCTCACCCCACAGCAGGGCAGGATCACCAGCTCTAGCGGCCCAGCGGCTGCTTCTGGCTGGCTCGAAGCCTCTTATGTCATCCTTGTTTCTTTATTCCAGGTGAAATGTAACGAGCAGCCTAACAGAGTGGAAATTTACGAGAAAACCGTGGAGGTTCTGGAGCCTGAGGTCACAAAACTGATGAATTTTATGTACTTCCAGGTAAAATGGCAAAATCCCTATCTTGGGGGTGTAACACCAAGGGGTGGGTTGCGGACGCCTTCCTTCCCATCGCCGTCACTGTGAACACCCTGAACAGAGTGCCTGCAAATTAAAACAACCAGTTTCTGAGACAAAAAGGACCAAGCCTTTGACAGTCTAAAGTTTCTCACGCCCTTTCGGAATCAACGCTCCTTTTGTGGTTCTCAGAATTCTCTCAGAGTGATTTCGTGTTTCCTTCACAGAACCTGCTTTCTGTCAGTTTCAACTACAATGCTTTGACTTTCTGCCAGTTTGTACTTTCTTTTTTGAGACAGAGTCTTGCTCTGTCGCCCAGGCTGGAGTACAATGGTGCAATCTTGGCTCACTGCAACCACTGCCTTCCAGGTTCAAGTGATTCTCCTGCCTCAGCCTCCCGAGTAGCTGGAATTACAGGCGCCGCCACCACGCCTGGCTAATTTTTGTATTTTTACTGGAGACAGGGTTTCACCATGTTGGCCAGGCTGGTCTTGAACTCATGACCTCAGGTGATCCGCCCATCTTGGCCTCCCAAAGTGCTGGGATTACAGGCGTGACCCACCGCACCTGGCCAGTTTGTACTTTTGATTCATCTGGTCTTTCAGGTATTTTCTTGCTGTCAGCCTCACCCTGACTGTCCATTCCTGGTGGTCCTCGCCCTGGCCTTGATTAGGCAAGAAGCAGCCACATGGAAGGGGGGCCTGCTGCTTTTTAAAGAAGTATTTTGGAAACATCCAGATTTTTTATGTAATGTCCATTAGCAGAGGGAGGAGATGGAACTAACTAGGAGATTAGTTTTCATTTTACCTTGAAAGTTACCAAGAGGAAAAAAATCTCTCCCACTTTTCACTTCTGAAAGTTAGAACATCTGAATTTTATAGACGTTTTCTTGGAGCATTTTGCTCAGTAATTTTGCTGGAATAATCAGCAAGATGTTATTATTTTAGTGACTTAGTTGGTAAAGTGCAAAACGAGTAACGATGTTGCAGAGCAGGCCGTGGGAGCTGCTTTCAGGAAGGGGTCTGGCTGCCCACATTGTAAACACCTGGGCCCGAAGCCGCACGGGGCAGATCTTTTCTCATCAAGGAGCAGTGACTGCAGGTGCTTGAAGCAGGGACATGGGCTTGGCTCCTCACTGACCTGCAGCTTTCTGCCCTCCTGCTTCCTCCGCACAGAGAAACGCCATTGAGCGTTTCTGTGGGGAGGTGAGGCGCCTGTGCCACGCTGAGCGGAGGAAGGACTTTGTGTCTGAAGCCTACCTGATCACACTGGGCAAGTTCATCAACATGTTCGCTGTGCTGGACGAGCTGAAGAACATGAAGTGCAGCGTGAAGAACGACCACTCAGCATACAAGAGGTGAGCACCGGCCTCGTGCGCCGCGGGCCTTCCTGAGAGCGCGCAGCTCAGGGGCCCGCCGTGTGCGTAGCAGGTGTGTGTGTTTGTGTGCTGAAGTCGTCAGAGCGCGCAGCTCAGGGGCCCGCCTTGTGCGTAGCAGGTGTGTGTGTTTGTGCTGAAGTCGTCAGAGCGCGCAGCTCAGGGGCCCGCCTTGTGCGTAGCAGGTGTGTGTTTGTGTGCTGAAGTCGTCAGAGCGCGCAGCTCAGGGGCCCGCCGTGTGCGTAGCAGGTGTGTGTGCTGAAGTCGTCAGAGCGCGCAGCTCAGGGGCCCGCCTTGTACGTAGCAGGTGTGTGTTTGTGCTGAAGTCGTCACTTTTGGTAGGCAGCAGCTACTTCTCAGTGTCAGGGCTGTGGGAGCACCTGCTCTGGGGGATAAAGTGAGGGGAGCCAGCAGGTAAGTGCATATCGTGGCTTTGCACAGCTAGAGCAGACTCGTAGTGCCCTGGCTGTGCTCAGATGTCACGGAGGACCTTCGCGCCCCTGGGAAGACAGACGTGCACAAGCTGTAGGCCTAGCTCACAGAGCACAGGCATCTGGCTCAGGGAGCATCTTGGCAAGGGGGCAGGTGGCCTCTGCAGCCCACCTTGGGCATGGGGGCTGCAGTCCTCGGTGCCGGTCTCTCGCCGGTGGGGGTCCCCGGCACCTGAGCACCATCCAGCAACGTGCAGACGTAGCCCACGCACAGCCACAGGGTGTCTTGGGGTCACACTGCGCTCCTAGGTCCTCTCCCCGGCGGTTTTCTTTTTGGATGTAGAGAGCTTCTGGAGAAGCTAGCCTCTGGCGAGACTGGCAGGAGGGGTGGAAGAGGCGGGCATGGCCCAGCATGTGCTTCCGGAGGATTGTGGGGTGGTGGGCAGCAGACGGGCGTTCGGGGGCACACGGCGCTGTCTCCTGATGCTCTGCTTCGTTTGTGCCCGGTGCTTTTGAAGACATGTTTTGCGGGAATGAGATGCTAATTTCAGTTTCCTCTAGTAAGTAAGGCATCTTAGCTCTAAAATTAAATTCGAAGAAACCTTGCTTTGCATCTGAATATGCTCTAGTTATGTTGCATTTTAAAATCATACAACTGTTGTTATGTCTTTATAAAAAGAAAAAACCCCACTTGGGACAAAATGAGGCAGCAGTAGGAGTCGAGCTAGGTCAGGCAGAATTTAAGCCTCATTCATGTGAAATAAGGCAGTGTTCCATTTATCACTAAAATCGTCAGCTCTGCACAGAAGCCTAGATCTTCAGAACTAGAGAAGGGTCTCCGGAGTGGGCCTGTGAGCCCCTCTTGGGGCGGACGTCTGAATGGTCCCTGTTTGATGACAGCATCTGTGGGACTCCAGCATCGAGGCTCACTGGTCGCAGTGGCCTCCTGGTCCCAGCCGCACAACCCAGTCGCTGTGTGATTTTGAGCAGCCTTCTCAGCCGCCGCCGTTTTGGCTTTGTCAGGGAAACGGGGAGGTGGCCAGCATCAGTGGTTTTCAATATTTAAAAGTATTTAAAAGTTGTGGGTTTTTTTTTTTTCCTTTCCTTTTAGCACCAGCACCTTTATTCTAAAGCCTAGTCTGTAAAATAGTTTACAGATGGGGCTGCTGTGTGCAAAGCTGGGGGAAGGAGGGTTTCCCCTCCAGCAGCCCCGTCCCCAGTGTCTTCACCACCTCCAGGTTCCCCTGAGCACCAGAGAGAGGGCCTGGGCCAGCTCCGTAGCTCTTCCTGCTGCCTCTTCCTCTGACCTGTCTGGGACCCCTGTTGGTTCACCCTCCCAGACCATCACCCCTCCCAAGACGCCCGCCACACACACACGCACCTAGCTCTTTTGGCACCTGCTTGTAGCTACTAGTATAACCTCCTCTAAGTGCCAATGCCAAGATAACTCGTGTGGTTATGGTGAGGCTTGAGGAAAATAGAAAACAGTATCCTTGACTGTTTCCTTAGTCTCCTCACCTGCCGCCTCAGCAACTACTCAAATCAATAAAGCAAACGTGGCCAGGTGCCATGGCTCACACCTGTAATCTCAGCACCTTGAGAGGCTGAGGTAGAAGGATCACTTGAGCCCAGGAATTTGAGACCAGCCTGGGTAACATAGCAAGACCCCATCTCTAAAAAAAAAAAAAAAACGCAAAAGCAAAAAAAACTAGCTGGGTGTGGTGGCGTGAACCTGTGGTCCCAGCTGCTGGGGAGGCTGAGGTTGGAGAATCACTTGAGCCCAGGAGGTCGAGGCTGCAGTGAGCTGTGATTGTACCACTATACTGCAGCTTGGGTGACAGAGTGAGACCCTTTGTCTATTTTAAAAAAAAAAAAAAGGAAACATGTTTTTGTTGTTGTTGTTTGTTTGTTTTGAGGCAGAGTCTCACTGGCCCAGGCTGGAGTGCGGTGGCACAATCTCGGCTCACTGCAACCTCTGCCACTCCTGGATTCAAGCAGTTCTCCTGCCTCAGCCTCCCGAGTAGTTGGGATTACAGGCGTGAGCCACCACACCTGGCTAATTTTTGTATTTTTAGTAGAGATGGGGTTTCACCATGTTGGCCAGGCTGGTGTTGAACTCCTGACCTCTCAAGTGATCCACCTGCCTCTGCCTCCCAAAATGCTGGGATTACTGGCATGAGCCACCATGTCCGGCCCGGAAACATGTTTAAAAAGCCAAGGAATGTTACTGTATCAGTTAATATTAGGTTTCACTGTATGCAATTGTTTAAAACCCAGTGAAGTAACAGTGGCTTTGAAAAGATTGCAATTTATTTCTCTGTCTCCTGGAAAGTCCTGAATGAGGTGGTCTGCAGCTGATTGCAGGCTCTCCGGCGTTCAGGACTCGAGGCTCCTGCTGGCCTGCTGCTCTGCTTCAGGTGTTGCCTCCTGGTTCTAGATGGTTGCTGAAGCTCCAGCTGTCATTTCTGCGTTCCAGTCAGCAGGCAGAAAGGAGGAAAGACGGGCTCCATGCTCCCTTATGAGTAAACTTTGGAGTGCCTGTCAGTGTCTTGCATTATATCTCATGGCCCCAGTCCTTGGTCATGTGACCACAGCTAGCTGCAGGGTAGGCGAGGCACACGGAACGTGTGAGGCTCCCTGGAACGTGTGTTCCACGGAAATGCGGGGCTCTTTCCTAAGGAGGAAGGGGAGGAAGTGAATGTTGGGGTAGGTTACCAGTCTTTGCCATGGTGACTTTTAAAGCTAAACCCCCAAGGCTCTGGGTTGCACAGACCTATCCTTGTGTGGGCCGTTTCCACTGAACTTTCTTGGGGGACAGCCCTAGATGATGGGAATCCTCACACCCCACCTTCACCCTGCTCTGCCAGACCTCGCGGGCTCAGCAGGGCCTTGCGGTATTGTATGTCGGGTGTAGCTACAAATTGGTGGCAGGCCAGGGCTCTGTCTCGGGACTTTGGGTACCAGTGGTCCCTGAGGTGGCCTGGGGAGGTGTGGTCCAGAGGGTTCCCGGCAGAGAACCTCAGCAGTGCTGGCTGTCTTCATGGCAGGGCTTGTGGGCGTCACGGAGATGGCAGTGGCCCTTCTTAGACTCGGGGTCCAGCAGCCCTGTGCCCCCTAGATGAGGTGGGCGTCCACCAGTGAAGGGCAGAGACCAGTGTGCAGGGACCCTGCAGGAAGCCCGTCGGCTGTGACCAGCAGGGTGGAGAGCTGTCCCCAGCTGTGCAAGACACGTCTAAGTTGGCAGAAGACTGACCTGGAGGGCAGGGCCGGAGACGCCTGAAAAGGCTGAAATCATCGCCGGCATCTGAGGTTGACCCACATTTCTGCAGATGACTGTAGAGGAGGGGGATCCCACTCGAACCAGGCTTTTATTTTTTTATTTTTTTATGTGGCACATTGGTGCATTTTGGGATGAACTCTTCTTGTTTTCAAAGGGCTGCTCAGTTTTTACGTAAAATGGCAGATCCACAGTCCATCCAGGAATCGCAGAATCTGTCCATGTTCCTGGCCAATCACAACAAGATCACACAGGTGAGGCTGGTGTTCGCACACTCGGGCGGATGGGCCGAGCCGCTGGCCGGGCGCCAGGCCCGTGCGTGAGTCTCTTGCTCTGTTTCAGTCTCTGCAGCAGCAGCTCGAAGTGATTTCTGGCTACGAAGAGCTCCTGGCAGACATCGTGAATCTGTGTGTGGATTACTACGAGAACAGGATGTATTTGACGCCCAGTGAGAAACACATGCTTCTCAAAGTACGTGTGTGGGGACGCCAGCCTGTGGCACTGCCGAGGGACAGCCTTACTCTTGTCAATAGGCTGTGCTTTTCTAGAATCCTTTTGACAGCTGTGTCTTACTTGCACGTTGTCTTGTGTGTGAACAGCGTTCTGCCCTTGCACACAGCCTGCACAACAGGCTCTCAACACACCCCACGAGTGTCACACACTGACCCTGCGAGAAGGTGCTGGCCAGGATGTCTGGGTCAAGGATTCTCTCAGCATTAAGCTGCTTTTTGTTTTATTTTTGAGTCAGGGTGTTGCTCTTGCCCAGGCTGGAGTGCAGTGGCATGATCACAGCTCACTGTAGCCTCAACCTCCTGGGCTCAAGTGATCCTCCCACCTTGGCCTCCAAAGTAGTTGGGACTACAGGTGCGCACCACCACGCCTGGCTAATCTTTAAATTTTTTGTAGAGGGAGAAAATTGCCATGTTGTACAGGCTATCTCAAACTCCTGGGCTCAAGTGACCCTCCTGCCTCAGCCTCCCAAAGCTCTGTGAATACAAGCTTGAGCCACTGTGCCCAGCCTTTTTTTTTTTTTTTCCTTGAGACAGGGTCTTGCTCTGTCACCCAGGCTGGAGTGCAGTGGTGCGGACACAGCTCACTGTAGCCTCGACCTCCTTGGCTCAAGTGATCTTTCTGCCTCAGGTTCCTGAGTAACTGGGGCTACAGGCACTTGCACCAATGCCCAGCTAAGTTTTTGAATTTTTGTAGATATGAGATCTCACTTTGCTGCCCAGGCTGGCCTTGAACTCCTGGGCTCAAGCCATCTTCTTGGCTTGTCCCCCCGCAAAGTGCTGGGATTACAGGCCTGAGCCACCTCTCCCGGCTAGTTTTTTGTATTTTTTAGTAGAGACGGGGTTTCACCGTGTTAGCCAGGATGGTCTCGATCTCCTGACCTCATGATCCGCCCGTCTCGGCCTCCCAAAGTGCTGGGATTACAGGCCTGAGCCACCACGCCTGGCCTTTAAGCTGCTTTGTGACAGAAGTTATCCAAGATTCTACTTGTCAAGCATGTGACTCCTGGGACTCTGATACCTTGTGTCACCATAATTAAAGCAGCCTTTTGTTGGTTCACCATAGTCTTTATTATTCTGTTCAAATGAGGAAGGTTTCCATCTGCGTTTCTCACGGGAAAGATGGTCGGCAGTTCCACTGTTCCCTTTGCTCTGCTCTCCACCTCTGCAGGGTGGCCTTGGGGGACCCTTTACTGGGTGTCCCACCAGCCCAGTCCCCAGCCGCCTCCTGAGTCGGAGAGCACTGGGAGGCATGCAGGGCTGAAGGAGCACTGTCCATGGAGTAGGAGAGCACTGGGAGGCACGCAGGGCTGAGGAGCACTGTCCCATGGAGTAGGAGAGCACTGGGAGACGCAGGGCTGAAGGAGCACTGTCCATGGGTAGGAGAGCACACTAGGGAGGCTGCACATGAGGCACAGGAGCACTGTCCATGGAGTAGGAGAGCACTGGGAGGCACGCAGGGGCTGGAAGGGAGCACTGTCCGTGGGTAGGAGAGCACTGGGAGGCACGCGGGGCTGAGGAGCACTAATCCCGTGGAGTAGGAGAGCACTGGGAGGCACGCAGGGCTGAAGGAGCACTGTCCGTGGGTAGGAGCACTGGGAGGTGCGGGGCTGAGCACTGTCCGTGGAGTAGGAGAGCACTGGGAGCACATGGGGCTGAGGAAAGGAGCACTGTCAAAATGGGTAGGAGAGCACTGGGAGGCACGCAGGGCTGAAGGAGCACTGTCCGTGGAGTAGGAGAGCACTGGGAGGCACGCAGGGCTGAAGGAGCACTGTCCGTGGAGTGGGAGAGCACTGGGAGGCACGCAGGGCTGAAGGAGCACCTGTCCGTGGGTGAGAGGAGAGCACTGGGAGGCACGCAGGGCTGAGCACTGTCCATGGGGTGCTTTGTGACAGCAGAGACTTTGGGTCTGCACCAGCTGGTGTGGGAGCCGTGGAGGAGAGCACTGGGAGGCACGCAGGGCTGAAGGAGCACTGTCCATGGGGTGCTTTGTGACAGCAGAGACTTTGGGTCTGCACCAGCTGGTGTGGGAGCCGTGGCTGCCAGGTCCTGTGGAGCACTGGAGTGTGCAGGTGGCTAGTCCACATTAAGAATTTTTAGTTTGTCCCCAGGCACGGTGGCTCATGCCTGTAATCCTAGCACTTTGGTAGTTGAGGTGGGTGGATCACTTGAGGTCAAGAGTTCTACACCAGCCTGACCAACATGGTGAAACCCCATCTCTACTAAAAATACAAAAACCATTAGCCAGGCGTGGTGGTCGTGCACACCTGTAGTCCCAGCTACCTGGGAGGCTGAGGCAGGAGAATCACTTGAACCTGGGAGGCAGAGGTTGCAGTAAGCTGAGATGGTACCACTGCACTCTGGCCTGGGTGACAGAGTGGGACTCTGTCTCAAAAAGAAAAAAAAAAAAAAAGAATTTTTAGTTTGCATACACCGAAACGTAACTGGTTACATGTAACTGCATATTGGACATTACTTTTAATGGCAGAAAAACCGCAATTACTTTTACACCAACCTAATAGCCCTAGAATAGCCCTACTGCTTGTGTGAGTTTAGGGTAGAGGATTTGTTTTTTCCACTTTTAGCAACTGACCTGGAAGCCCAGCCCTGCTTTGTAGCAGTTTCACTGAGGATAAAATGATGCATTTCAAGCACCAGACAAGCAGCCTAAAGATAGATCTTTATGATATATTTCAAATTGTGCCTTTGAAATCGTCAGCTGTAACAGTGTAAGTCCTTACGGGTAATTAAATTTGCAGTTGTGAGCTTTATTGCATCATTCATTTTGTGGCTTTTCAGGTCATGGGATTTGGTCTGTACCTGATGGATGGGAGTGTCAGTAACATCTATAAGTTAGATGCCAAGAAAAGAATAAACTTATCCAAAATAGACAAGTACTTCAAGGTGAGTTACATGGTTTTAGATCAATGTTTTTATTGATTTGTGTGCAGTTTGAATTTTGGGGAAGTGAGCCCCTGTGTGACCATGATCTATATCAGGAAATGCTGGGGCTGGGTAGAGTCTGGGCCACGCATGTTCTCCTGTCTACAGAGGCAACCGCGCTTTCTCTTTCCTTCTGCCCGGTGCTGGTTTTGCCTGGGTGGAGCTTTATACAGATGGAATTGTGCTATTTTACTCTTCTGCGTCCGGCTGCTGTCTCCAGCCTCTTGTTTGTTAGGTGCATCCTGGAGGAAGCCCATAGCTATAGCTCATAGCTTTCAGTTGTGGTGTAGTTTTCTATCTTATGACCACACCGTAACTTACCCGTTCCGATGTTGGCGGGCTCTCGGACGTTCCCGGGTTTTGGTGAGTCCAAACAGTGCAGCTCTGGTCGACTCTCCTCTGTTGGGTGCATACCCAGGAGAGGGACCGGAGGTCATAGGGCGTATCTGTTTTCAGTATTAGTAGTTACCTGTGGCCTGATGACTTTCCAGCATAGCTGTCCTGATCTGCATTCCCATCAGCAGTGAGAGAACGCTCTGGGGGTGCCACATCCTTGTCAGTACTTAGCACTGTCTTTTTTGGGGTTGGGGGACATCCTGAGGATGCGTACATCATTGGGATTGTAATGGCTAGTGTTTCATTGTAGTTTAGTTCATGTTTCCCTAATGGCTTTCCATGTTCTTAGCGCGTTCCCTTTGTGATGTGCCACTTCAAGTCTTTTGCTCTTTTTTCCCTATTGATTTATAGTTATTTATATATTCTGGATACATGTCCTTTGTTGGGCACAAGTGAGTATTTTTGTTTGTTTTGTTTTGTTTTTGAGACAGGCTCTTGCTCTGTCATCCAGGCTGGAGTGTAGCAGGCCTTGGTGATTCCTCCCACCTCAGCCTCTCAAGTAGCTGGGACTGCAGGCACTTGCCATCACACCTGGCTAGTTTTTAAACTTTCAGTAGCAACGAGGTCTCCCTATGTTGCCCAGGCTGGTCTCGAACTCCTGGCCTCAAGCAGTCCTCCAGCCCTAGCCTCTCAAAGTGCCGAGATTACGGGCCTGAGCCACTGCACCTGGCCTTACGTTTTAACGTACATGTATTCTCCCCTAAGAGGCTTACCCTTTCACTTTTTCCCAGCTTTATTGAGGTGTAATTGACAAATAAAAATTGTATATGTTTATGGTGTACAGTGTGATGTTTTGATACACATTGTGAAATGATGAATTCAAGCTAATTAACATGTCCATCACCTCACACACCATTTTTTTGTTTTGTGATGAGAACACTTAAGATCTACTCTTTAGCATATTTGAAGGATTCAATGCGTTGTTATTAAGCATAGCTCCCGTGCCACAGGTGAGGTCTCCAACACTTACTGATGCTACGGAACTGAAACTTTATACGCTTTGACCAATATATTCCCTTCCTCCCCCGCCTCCAGTAGCCTTTTCGCGTTCTCAATGGTGTCATTTGCTGAACAGAAGTTCATAATTTTAGTGTAGTCCCATATATGAGTCTTTTCATTAATGTCCACCTAAATCAGTCTTTGTAGCCATCCAGCTCATGGGATGTTTCTGCTGTGTTAGCTTCTAGAAGCATCCTGTGTCCTTTTTCATGTAGACCTAATCCCCCCGGAACTGACTTCTGCGCGTGGTAGGAGGTAGGGATTTCGCTTCCTTGGATCTGTCTCAGTATGGCTCCCCAGTTGGGCCTGCCCGTGTATTGCAAAGCCCATTGTTCTGCAGTGCTGCTCCTCAGGTCATGAGGCTGTCTGTGGCTCTGTCCAGGTTCTCTGTCCTGTCCGCAAGCCTCCGTCCCTGCTCCAGGGCCACACTGCCTTAATTGCTGTAGCTTTGTAACAGGACTCCTGATCTGGAAGGGTGTGTCTTCCAGTTTTGTCCTTCAAGATAGTCTCAGATACCATCCCTTCACCTTTGGAAATGCATTTTAGAATTGGTTTCCTGATTTATACACACTATCCCCACAAAGCCATTTTTATTCTTATGGAATATTGACTGGGATTGATTATAGATCCGTTTTGAGAGAACGGACATTTAAAACATTTGAAGCCTTCCTAGGCACAAACATGATCTATTTCTCTATTTATTGAGAACTTTTTCTAGAATTTTTGGGGTAATACTTTTTTTTTTTTTTTTTTGAGATGGAGTCTCGCTCTGTTGCCCAGGCTGGAGTGCAGTGGCGCAAACTCAGCTCACTGCAACCTCTACCTCCCGGGTTCACGCCATTCTCCTGCCTCAGCCTCCCGAGTAGCTGGGACTACAGGGCCCGCCGCCACGCCCGGCTAATTTTTTTTTTGTATTTTTTAGTAGAGATGGGGTCTCACCGTGTTAGCCAGGATGGTCTCGATCTCCTGACCTCATGATCCGCCCGCCTCGGCCTCCCAAAGTGCTGGGATTCCAGGCGTGAGCCACCGCGCCCGGCCTGGGGTAGTACTTTTGTTTAGAGGTCTTGCACATTTTTTGTTAGATTCACTTATGCATATTTTTTTTGGATGCTATTGCAAAGTATTTCTCTTTAAGTTTTTGTATTCTAATTGTTGCTAGTATATAGAAATGCAGTTGCCTGGGCACGGTGGCTTATGCCTGTAATCCCAGCACTTTGGGAGGCCGAGGCAGGTGGATCACAAAGTCAAGATATCAAGACCATCCTGGCCAAGATGGTGAAACCTTGTCTCTACTAAAAATACAAAAAAATCAGCTGTGTGTGGTGGCGCTCGCCTATAGTCCCAGCTTCTCAGGAGGCTGAGGCAGGAGAATTACTTGAATCCTGGAGGTGGAGGTTGCAGTGACCCGAGATGATGCCACTGCACTGCAGCCTGGTGACAGAGTGAGACTCTGTCTCAAAAAAAAAAAAGAAATAAAAAAAGAAATAGAGTTGATTTTTTTTTTTTAATGACTGTGGATCTAGCAATTTCGTAGGTTAATTTTAACATTTGAATAGTTTTTATAGATGTTGGTTTTTAAATTGTATTTTGTTTCTCTCAAAGCAAATGTAGACGTTGCTTAGAGTTTTTTTGTAGTGAATCATTTGCAGAGGTAGCATTCAAGCCGAAGTAATTATTAGCATTAGTCAGTTTCCTTGTGCTTATGTATTTGGTGACTAAACATACATAATGACCCTATTTTTTTTGTTCTTTGAATACAGCAGCTCCAGGTGGTTCCGCTATTTGGGGACATGCAAATAGAACTGGCAAGATACATAAAGACCAGCGCCCACTACGAGGAAAATAAATCTCGGTAGGAGGAGAGAAAACCTGCCTGGTTTGAGCTTTCTGCAGTGTCCTCATTGTGCGGTTTTCTTCAGACATCTTGCTTATTTGTCTAGAGAGAACACTGTTAACATTCTCAGCCTGGAACTGAATGTCTAGTATTGTAGCCTTTGCCACATGTGGCTAGTTACATTTAAGTTTATTGAAAAATACAATTGAAATTTTAATTTCCTTATGACAGCCACATTTGAAATGTTCAAAAGTTAGTAGCTACTGTGTTGGACAGCACAGATACAGAACATTTTCATCATCCTAGGGTTTCCTGTTGGACAGTGCTGGGGGATAGTCTTTACTTTTAAAAAGGTTGTCTTTAAAAAAAAAAAGAGGGTGGGGTGCGGTGGTTCACGCTTATAATCCCAGCACTTCGAGAGGCCGAGGTGGATGGATCTCTTGAACTCAAGAGTTTGAGACCAGCCTGGGCAACAAGTGAGACCTCGTCTTTATGGAAAAATACAAGAATTAGCCAGGCATGGTGGCACAGGCTTGTAGTCCCAGTTACTCGGGAGGCTGAGGTGGGAGGATCACTTGAGTAGTCTGGGAGGTGGAGGTTGCAGTGAACCGAGATTGCACCACTGCAGTCCAGCCTGGGCAACAGAGCAAGACCCTGCCTCAAAGAAAAAAAGAAGAAACTGACGGTGTGTCAGCTGTGACATCTGCAGACAATGTGGCCCTAGATCCTAAACTGTATCATCTTCCTCTGGAGAACTATAAAGATCCTCAGCACTGTTCCAGATGCTGGCAGACACTCCTCCCCACTGCAGCCTCTGCAGAGCCATCAGAGCCTCAGGGGAGGCTTTCACTGACTTGCCAAGCCCTGCCCGTAGCCAACCCGCGGTCACCATTCAGCCATGATTTTGACAAACGAAGTTGCAGCTCAGTCTCAGGGGCAAGAAACCTTTTCAGTAAAGGACAGACAGCAAATACTTTAGGCTTTACAGGCCACAGGTGGTCTCCCTCAGACAATTCTTCTGTGTTGTCTTTTTAACAACCCTTTAAAAATGTAAAAGCCATCTGGCTCCGGCGCCAAACCAGGCATCCTGAGCTGCCCCAGTGCCGCGACCTGCCGGCGCCGCTGCAGGTAACCCGCGGGTGCCTTCTCTCCGCACAGGTGGACGTGCACATCCTCCGGCAGCAGCCCTCAGTACAACATCTGCGAGCAGATGATCCAGATCCGCGAGGACCACATGCGCTTCATTTCGGAGCTGGCGCGCTACAGCAACAGCGAGGTGGGCCCGCGACCAGAGCCACGTGGGCACCCGAGGGTCGCCTGTGTGCGTTCGCACCCAGATCTGAGGTTTAATCGCTTTGAAAAACAGTTTACTACCAGATACAATCATATGTCACATAATGACAGGGACAGGTTCTGACATGTGTCATTAGGCAGTTTCGTCACTGTGGGAATGTCATCATGTCCTCGTGCTAGCCTGGATGGCACAGCCTGCAGCACACCTGGGCCACAGGGCACAGCCAGTGGCTGCTGGGCCCCACACCCATGGAGCACGCTGCTATGCTGAAGACTTTGGGTAGTTGTAACACAGTGGTGTGTATTTGTGTATCTAAATCTATCTAAACATAGAAAAGGTACAGTGAAAAGATGGTGTTATAATCTACGGGACCACCATTCTGTCATTGATCAAATGTGCATGACTGTACTTCAGAAGCACCCATTATAATTGACAAGGCAGTGAAATTAGTGTTGTCTCTGTTGAGCTGTACAAAAAGCATCTTTTTTTTTTCTTTCAGAAAAACATAGGGATCCCAAGAGAAAGGACAGAGACCAGATAATTAATTGATTAAATGGCATTTCCTAGTCTAGTACTGTGATTCCAGCAGCTCGAAAGATGGTTGGAGAAGGGAGGACACTGGGAAAAGACAGGGTGATTCTGACCCGGGGCCCCTTTAAGTCTAGAAAGAAAGAAGTTCTGAGGCCAGAGGTGAGCAGGAACCTCTGGGTGGCTGTCAGGAGACATCCCAGGGGCACTGGGTCCGTGTGTCCAGGAGGTGGGCCTGGAGTTGGGCGCAGAGGACGCGTGCTTTCTCTCTAGTTCCTTCTAGCTTTGCAGCTGGGTTTGCCACATCGGCATTTTGGTCACTTCCATTCTCCTCACCCAGGTTTGCTCCGAGCCAGCGCTGCTGGCATGTCTGTGCTGCAGATTGCCGGCAGGGACTGTGGGGTTTCAGGGCATATACCCAGGCTGCTTTGCAGGACTGGTTAGACCCTCAAGGGCCTCAGGAGGACCATTAACCTTAGCGGGGACAACTCTGGGGATGTTGGCCCCACCCACTGCAGGATGATGGGCACCCCGTCCCCCACCCACCACCTACCATGGTTACCAGTCATCATGTAACCAAACTGACTAAGAACCCAGTAGTCCAGGTATCTTGGGGTACCTGCTGCTTCTAACATAGACCACTGGCAAATGTTTGGGCATGTTAGACAAGGAGGCTGTTCTGGGTGAGTCAGTGGGTGGTGAGCAAGTGGGAGGCCTAGGACATTACCGTGCACTGCTGTGGCCTTTATGAACACTGTGTGCTTAGGCTGTGCTAAAGTTTTTTTTTTTTTTTTTTTTTTTTTTGAGATGGAGTCTTGCTCTGTCACCCAAGCTGGAGTGCAGTGGCGCGATCTCGGCTCACTGCAAACTCCGCCTCCCAGGTTCACGCCATTCTCCTGCCTCAGCCTCCCAAGTAGCTGGGCCTACAGGCGCCGCCACCACGCCTGGCTAGTTTTTGTATTTGTAGTAGAGATGGGGTGTCACCGTGTTGGCCAGGATGGTCTCCATCTCCTGACCTCATGATCCACCCACCTCGGCCTCCCAAAGTGCTGGGATTACAGGCGTGAGCCACGGTGCCCAGCCTGTGCTAAATTTTTAAAAAGGCTTTTTTTTCCTTTAATAATGAATTAGCTTTAGCTTACTGTAACTTTTTAACTTTATAAACTTTTTACTTTTAAAAAGAGCTTTTTGGCTTTTGTAATAACACTTTGCTTAAAACACAAACACATTGTATACCTGTGCAAAAATATTTTCTTTCTTTATATCCTTATTCTATAAATAATTTTTCTACTAAGAAGTTTTTGTTTTTTCCCTTTTGAGCTTTTTCGTTAAAAACGAAGACCTAAATGCACACAGTAGCCTACACAGGGTCAGTATCATCAAGACGTCACTAGGCAGTAGGAATTTTTCCACCGCATTATAGTTTTATGGGACCACCGTCATGTATGTGGTCTTGTTGACCGGAGCTTCCTTAGGTGGCATCTGAGTGTAATTGGTTCTCTGGCATTGTCTAAGGTAACAAATCAGTTTTTTTCTGAGTACAGTTTTTTTTATTTTTTTGTTTTTTTTTTTTGGTGAGATGAGGGTCTTGCTGTGTCACCCAGGCTGGAGTGCAGTGGCCCAATCTCGGCTCACTGCAAGCTCTGCCTCCTGGGTTCATGTTCGTGCCATTCTCCTGCCTCAGCCTCCCAAGTAGCTGGGACTACAGGCGCCTGCCACCACGCCTGGCTAATTTTTTTTTTTTTTTTTTTGTATTTTTTTAGTAGAGAGGGGGTTTCACTATGTTAGCCAGGATGGTCTTGATCTCCTGACCTCGTGATCCACCCGTCCCGTCTCAGCCTCCCAAAGTGCTGGGATTACAGGCGTGAGCCACCGCACCCAGCCTCTGAGTACAATTTTAAGGTGATTCCACTTTAGGTTTGTTGATTTTCTTTTTTCTGAAAGCTGAACATCCTGGTGAATAATGCCAGTGTAATTTGATTTATGTCATTATTAATTATTATATGTCATTATTATTAATCTAGTTGGTTTTTTTGGTTTGTTTGTTTTTTTGAGACGGAGTCTCTCTCTGTTGCCCGGGCTGGAGTGCAATGGTGTGATCTTGGCTCATTGCAACCTCCGCTTCCCGGATTCAAGCGATTCTCATGCCTCAGCCTCCCAAGTAGCTGGGACTACAGGTGTGCGCCACCACGCTTAGCTAATTTTTGTATTTTTAGTAGAGACGGGATTTCACCATGTTGGCCAGGATGGTCACCATCTCTTGACCTTGTGATTCACCCACCTGAGCCTCCCAGAATGCTGGGATTACAGGCATGAGCCACCATGCCCAGCCAAGATCTAGTCTTAAAAGAGCAATGCCAGCACTACTAATTACAGTGACTAGAAATTGCTTTAGGATTTGTTTTGCAGGTGATTTTGCCCTTGAGCTTCTCACTCAGAGGATTTTTTTTTTTTTTTTTTTTTTGAGATGGAGTTTCGCTCTTGTTGCCCAGGCTGGAGTGCAATGGCGTGATCTTGGCTCACTGCAATCTCTGCCTCCTGGGTTCCAGCAATTCTCCTACCTCAGCCTCCAGAGTAGCTGAGATTACAGGCATGCGCCACCACGCCTAGCTAATTTTTTGTATTTTTAGTAGAGGTGGGGTTTCACTGTGTCGGCTGGGATGATCTCGAACTCCTGACCTCAGGCAATCCACCTGCCCCAGCCTCCCAAAGTGCTGGGGTTACAGGCGTGAGCCATCGCACCCGGCCCCGCACTCAGAGGATTTTAAGTCACACCATGGTGTTTAGAATTGCTCAGGGTGGGGCCTCTCAGTGGTCATGCTGTGGACTCTATGCAGGTTCCCGCCATTGTTTTATTTTGCTTTTCACTTTTAGGGATTGCATTTCCCATCTCATTTAATTCTGTGTCCTAATTATATAAAATATTTCTGTGGTTCTAATATCACATCTACAAAAAGGTGTATTCAGAGAAGCTTGCCTTCTCCACACTGTCCCTTCCTCCCCATAGGTCACGTTTTTAAATTTAGGGGGTTATTTGATAGAAGCAAACCCACGTGACTTGTGTGTTGCCCTTTCCCAGCCTAGTGGAAGTGCGCCAAGCCCACGCGTGTTACAGTCCCTCGCCCGGCCCGCGGTTCCCCGGGCGGTGGCGGTGGCAGCGGCCTGTCCCTTGCTCTGTGCTCTGCAGCACACCCGTGGCCACCTTTTTCCCGGGAGGAGGGTCCAGCACCCACGGCATTTTTTATTTTCACGGGTGTGACTTCGGGGTGGATTCTCAGGGTGGATCTCCGGGGTGGGGGGCTGGGTGGAGTGGGGGGCGCGGGTTTCCCACGGGGCCGTGCCCGCCTTGTGCAGGTGGTCACCGGCTCGGGCCGCCAGGAGGCCCAGAAGACGGACGCGGAGTACCGGAAGCTCTTCGACCTGGCGCTGCAGGGCCTGCAGCTGCTGTCGCAGTGGAGCGCGCACGTGATGGAAGTGGTAGGCCCCGCCCCGCCCCCAGCTCCCGCCCCGCCCCCAGGCCCCGCCCCCACCTCCCTGCCAAAGCTGCCTCGGGCACTTGATTCACATTCACTTTTGGGCTTTGGGCTTTTTATTTTTGGCCCCAGAAAGACAAGAACATCTACCAGTAGAAATGTTTCCAAGATTATTTTAAGTACATTTCATTTATGTGTGTTATAAATAAAGGGCCTCATTTTAAAAAAACATCTTGATAGAATTAAATTTCTACCATTGTGATGGTCTTTAAGTCTCTCTTTTTTTGAGACAGCGTCTCACCCTGTCGTTTAGGCTGGAGTGCGATGGTGCAAACATACGTCACTACAGCCTTGACCCCCACCCCAAGCGATCCTTCCGCCTCAGCCTCCCCAGCGCTGGGACCACAGGTGTGCACCAGGACGCCTGGATACTTTTTTTTTTTTTTTTGAGATGGAGTTTTGCTATTGTTGTCCAGGCTGGAGTGCAATGGTGCGATCCCAGCTCACTGCAACCTCTGTCTCCCCGGTTCAAGTGATTCTCCTGCCGCAGCCTCCCAAGTAGCTAGGATTACAGGCGCCCACCACCACTCCTGGCTAATTTTTTTGTATTTTTAGTAGAGACGGTATTTCACCATGTTGGCCACGCTGTTCTCGAACTCCTGACCTCAGGTGATCCACCCACCTCAGTCTCCCAAAGTGCTAGGATTACAGGCTTGAGCCACGGCGCCTGGCCTAGTTTTTTGTTTGTTTGTTTTTTGTACAGACAAGGTCTCACCGTGTTGGCCAGGCTGGTCTCAAACTCCTGGCCTCAAGCCATCTGCCTGCCTGGGCCTTCCAAAGTGCTGGATTACAGACGTGAGCCATTGTACCTGGCCAATTCTCATTTTTTCATTTAAATTTTATTTTGCTTTAAATATTTACTTGTATTGATGCATAACAGGGGTACATAGTTTCAGGGTACATGTAATAATTTAATACAGTCATACAATTTGCAAAGATCTAATTGGTGTGCCTGGGATGTCCATCGCCATAAATATTTGTCCTTATGCCAGAAAAATTCGAGTTCTTCCCTATCTATTCTGAAATGTACCATAAATTATTTTAATTAATATTCTCCCTAACTGATCTAACACTAGATCTTATTTCTAATATCAAACCGTGTATTTGTACCCATTAATGTTGCTTCATCCCCCGCGTTTTTAAGATAACGTTTTCTCTTTGGAGCTCCAGCCATCAATGTCTCAATATCTTTTGTTGAACATTAGTAAATTATTTCTGGTGCCATATAAAAATTTGGATGCCTAATTCATAAAAGATTTTCCCTTTTGTGATTTATTTTGATCACATAAAAATGATCAAATTGGAAGAGTACATGATCATTTGAAAGGCAGAATCTTTACTTATTATTTTACTTTCCGTAGAGATGAGGCCTCACTTTATTGCTCAGGCTGATCTTAAACTGGGCTCAAGGGATCCTCCCACCTCGGCCTCCCAAAGTGCTGGGGTCATAGGCATGAGCCACCATGCCTGGCCCAGAGTCCTTTTTAAAATAATGATGAAATGCCTCGAGTCTTAGATACTCAGCACTCACTATCCAGGCCATTTTGCTGGGTAGGTTTTTTAAACGAGAGGTTACGGGACCAGGATCTTTTGTCCATCTGTGGAGATGGACGGTGTGTGTGTCCTCACGTGTGACTTTTCAGAATGCAGCAAAGGGTCGAAGGCTGGCCTTCTGGCTTTGGCCGCCATCGTGTGAGTCAGACCAGACGCCAGGCATTTTGCGTGCAATATGGAACAGCTCTGCTCTTTTGGCTGCCGCAGTATTCCTGGAAGCTTGTGCACCCCACCGACAAGTACTCCAACAAGGACTGCCCGGACAGCGCGGAGGAGTACGAGCGCGCCACGCGCTACAACTACACCAGCGAGGAGAAGTTCGCCCTGGTGGAGGTGAGGACCCTCGGCCGCTCGCTGCTCCTCGTGTGGCTCTGACCTCGCACTGTCTTCTCTGTCAAAAGCAAACACATGAACCGACTGCCTGTTTCCTCGTTGCTTCTGTGTGGGCACCCCTTTCCGTCTGGCAGAGTAGTCAGAGTAGGGTGCGTTAGGGGAGCAGTGGCCGTCGGTGCTGGGTCTGCGCCGAAGCGCCCTGTGGGCGGTCTGGACTCCTGGACCTGCACCTGGATGGCGAGCAGTGTGGGGTGCGGGGAGGGAGGTGAAAGAGGTGTGGCCCTGCTGAGAGAAGAGCCGTGCTGCTCTCCCCTCGTGAGCCTTTCCGTGGGCAGCTCTTCATTCCAGCATCGGCCGGTGTCTTTTCTTTCATAGCTGTGCTTCTCCTGTGCTGTGTGAGAAATCTGTGCGTACCCGCAGGTCCTGAAGGTATTCTGCAGTGCTCTCTGGATGCTTCACGCTGCTTTCACACTGAGATGCGAATTTCACCTGAAGTTAATTTTTGAAACAATTCCGTCCACCCCGCACGCTGCCACCTTTGTAGCCGGCCACGTGACGAGGCATGTGTGGCCGTTTCTGCTCGGCTCTAACCCAGCTCAGTTGCTGTCTGTTTCCCAGTACCACCCTGTGACTTTGTAGTCATTCCCCTGTCCGGGAACGCACGTCTTTTCTGTCTTCTAGACTTCCTTGGCTCTTCTTCCCCACTGTAGTTTCATATTCATTTTAGAGTCAGCTTTTCCTATCCCACAGTGAAGATTTTAATCAGGATATGAACAGTCCTATGGATCGTGACAGGAGAACTGACAAAGTCTCATACAGTCGGCCCTCCATGTTCTAGGGTTCCACCTCCGTGGATTCAACCAACCTTGGGTCAAAAATATTCAGAAAGAAAAAATAACAGTAAAAAGTAATAAAAATGTTAAAAACTACAGTATAATAACTTTCTATAGCGTTTACATTGTGTTAGGGATTTGGGTAATCTAGAGATGATTTAAAGCATGCTAGATGATGTGCCTAGGTTACATGCAAATACTACACCGTTTTATCGAGTTGGTTTTTGGGTTTTTTTGGGTTTTGCTCTGTCACCCAGACTGGAGTGGAGTGGCATGATCTTAGCTCACTGTTTTAGCCTCAGCCTCCTGGACTCAAGCAATCCTCCCACCTCAGCCTCCTGGTTAGCTGAAACTACAGGTGCATGCCACCATGCCTGGCTAATTTTTATGTTTTTGGTAGAGACTGGGTGTTGCCAATTTGCCCAGGCTCGTCTCAAACTCCTGAGCTCAAGCAGTCCGCCCACCTCAGCCTCCCAAAGTGCTGGCATTGCAGGTGTGAGCCACTGTGCCCAGCCAAAATTTTCTAGTTTTTTGACATAAGGTTTTTCGTAGTAAATTCTCATCTTATTTTGGTAGAAGCTTTTCTTTTTTCACATAACCATACAGTTCACCCATTCGAAGTGTAAAATCCGATGCTTTTAGCACATTCACAGAGTTGTACAATCACAATCAAATTTAGAACAAAAAGAAATGCCAGCTCATTATCAGTCACCCTTCATTCTTCCCTCAACCCTTTGCAGCCACCACCCTGCTTTCTGACCCCGTAGATTTGCCTCTTTTGGGCATTTCATATTGTAGGTCATACCCTGTGTGGCCCTTTGTGACTGGCTGTCTCCTTCACTTAGCATAATTTTCTTTTTTTTTTTGAGATGGAGTCTTGCTCTGTCGCCCAGGCTGGAGTGCTATGGTGCCATCTTGGCTCACTGCAAGCTCTGGTTGCCAGGTTCACACCAAACTGACTCAGCCTCCCAAGAAGTTGGGACTACAGGCTCTCGCTACCACGCCCAGCTAATTTTTTGTATTTTTTTTTAGTCGAGACAGGGTTTCACCATGTTAGCCAGGGTGGTCTCGATCTCCTGACCTCATGATCCACCCGCCTTGGCCTCCCAAAGTACTGGGATTACAGGCGTGAGCCACCGTGCCCGGTTTTTTTTTTCTTAAGATGGAGCCTCACTCTGTCGCCCAGGCTAGAGGGCAGTGGCGCAATCTCAGTTCACTGCAACTTCTTCTTCCTGGGTTCAAGCGGTTCTTGTGCCTCAATCTCCAGAGTGGCTGGGATTACAGACACCCACCCGGCTAATTTTTGAATTTGTAGTAGAGACAAGATTTCATCATGTTGGCCAGGCTGGTCTCAAACTTCTGACCTCAGGTGATCTGCCTGCCTTGGCCTCCCAAAGTGCTGAGATTACAGGTGTGAGCCACCATGCCAGGCCACTTAGCATAATTTTCAAGGTTCACACAGGTATCACTGTTTTGTTCTGTTTATTGCTGAATAATATTCCATTATATGGAAATATTACTTTGTATTTATCCGTCCATCAGATGATAGACATTTGGGTTATTTCTACCTTTTTGCTATTATTAAAAAAGTTGTTGAGAACAACTTCTTGTTTTTTTTGAGACAAGGTCTCACTGTCACCCAACTGGAGTGCAGTGGCAGGATTATGGCTTAACTGCAGCCTCAATCTCCTGGGCTCAGGCAATTGTCCCTCTACAGCCTCCCAAGTAGCTAGGACCACAGGCACATACCACCATGCCTGACTAATTTTTAAATTTTTTGTGGAAATGGGATCTCACTGTGTTGCCCAGTCTGGTCTTGAACTCCTGACCTCAAGTGATCCTCCTGCTTTGACTTCCCAAAGCGCCGGGATTAGAGGTGAGCCACCATGCCCATCCTCTATGGCCTTTCATGTACGAGTTTTTGCGTAGATGCTGGTTTTCATTTATTTTGATTGTATAGCTAAAAATGCAATTACTGGATCATAACAGCACATTTAGCTTTTGAGGAACTACCAGATAGTGGCAGCACCATTTCTCCTTCTTACCAGTAGTATGTGAGGGTTCCAGTTTCCCCACATCCACACCAAACTTGTTACCATATGTCTTTTTGATTCTAGCCATCCTAGTGGGTGTGAGGTGGTATTTCATTTCCTTGCACTTTTGATTTGCATTTTTCTAACAAGTAAGGATGTTAAACATCTTTTTATGTGCTTGTTGGCCATTTGTGTGCATTATTTGGAGAAATGTCTGTTCAGATCCTTTGCTCATTTTTAATTAGGTTATCTTTTTTATTATTGAGTTGTAAGAGTTCCTTATACATTCTAAATATCAGTTCCTTACAGGCATGGGATTTTCAGTATCTTCTCCCATTCTATGGTTGTCCTTTTCATGTCTTAATGGAGTGTTTTGAGACACAAAAGGTTTTGATTTTGATTATGTCTGATTTATCTGTTTTTCTTACGTTGCTTATGCTTTTGGCATCATATGTAAGAAACCATTGTGTAACCCAGGTCATGATTTACTCCTGTGTTTCTTTCTAAAAGTCTTTTTTTTTTTTTTTTTGAGACAGAGTCTTGCTCTGTCACCCAGGCTAGAGTGCAGTGGCCGGATCTCAGCTCACTGCAGCCTCTGCCTCCCTGGTTCAAGCGATTCTCCTGCTTCAGCCTCCCAAGTAGCTGAGGTTACAGGCGTGTATCACCACACCCAGCTAATTTTTGCATTTTTAGTAGAGGCAGGGTTTCACCATGCTGGCCAGGCTGGTCCTGAACCCTTCACCTCAGGTGATCAGCCTGTCTTTGCCTCCCAAAGTGGTAGGATTACAGGCGTGAGCCACCGCGCCCAGCCTCTTCTAAAAGTTTTTAGTTTTAGCTCCTAATTGAAATGTATTTTCCACTTTGAGTGGATTTTTATACAGTGTGTGACCAGGTTGCGTCAGGAGCCCTGCAGACGACCCTCCATCCCCCCGCCTGGCTGGGAGGACTCTCAGGGCTTGGTAGTTGTTGCGCTGAAGGTTATGACTCCTTGCAGCCGAAAGACAGTCAGATCAGCAAAGGGAAAAGGCACAAGGGTGGAGTCCAGAGAAGCCAGGTGTAAACTTGTAGCTGTGCCCTGCTAGTGGAATTGCACGGGACGCGCTTATTTCTCCCAGTGATGATGTGTGACAGCACACGCAAAGTGCGGCTCAGCAGGGCAGCTCCCCAGAGCCTTGGGGTCCTGGGTTTTCACTGGGGGCCAGTCACGTGGCTGACCTTGGCTACTCAGACTCTAGGCCCTCAAAACACAGGCGGTCACCATGAATCACCTTGTTAGCAGAGACTGGTCAGAGTGGTACAGCAGTAGACCCTGGGTCCCAGGCTCACAAGAACATACTCTCTAGGCAGGACACTCCCAAGGCTCAGAGCTGGTTCCTGGGATGGCCTCAGCCAGTCCTGAAGACGGGCCTTTCTTGGGGATGTGCAGAGTGTCACTCTCCCCAGCCTGCTGAATTAACACTTTCCTGCTCGCGGGTCCACCTGGATTCTCTCGCATGTGCATATGCGGTTGTCAGTACTGTTTGTTGAAAAGATGGTCTTTCCCCATCGAATTGTTTTGGCACCCGATTGAAAATCAATTGTGAGTTAACTTCTGGACTCTTAATTCTATCACATTGACTCTGTTTGTCCTCTGTCTATGAGTATTTTCTCATAGTCTCTTAATCTGTCTATAAACTGCTGATGTTCCCTTTTTCATTCTTAATGCTGGTAATTCGTGCTTCTGTCTTTTTTTTTTTTTTTTTTTTTTTGAGACAGAGTCTCACACAATCTCAGCTTACTGCAATCTCCACCTCCCGGGTTCAAGCTACTTCTGGCTAATTTTTGCATTTTTAGTAGATACGGGGTTTCACCGTGTTGGCCTGTCTGGTCTTGAACTCCTGACCTCAAATGATCCGCCTTCTTCGGCCTCCCAAAGTGCTGGAATTACAGGCGTAAGCCACCGCGCCTGGCCTGCTTCTCTTTTTTCTTTGTTATTGTTGCTGGGCATTTATTTTTAGTTTTATTTTTTATTATTTATTTACTGAACAGCTTTGTCTTTGTTGATCACCCTTGATTATACGCTTGTTTTCTGTTTCATTAACTGTTGCATTTATTTATTTTGAGACGGAGTCTTGCTCTGTCACTGAGGCTGAAGTGCAGTGGCACCATCTTGGCTCACTGTAAGCTCCACCTCCCAGGTTCCAGCAGTTCTCCTGCCTCAGCCTCCCAAGTAGCTGGGACTACAGGCATGCAGCACCACACCCAGCTAATTTTTGTATTTTCAGTAGAGACGGGGTTTCACCATATTGGCCAGGCTGGTCTCAAACTGCTGACCTCATGATCTGCCCACCTTGGCCTCCCAAAGTGCTGGGATTACAAGCGTGAACCACCGCACCCAGGTGCTTTTAGTTCTTTTTCTTCTATTTTGGGGGGAGTTTATTTTGGTGTTTGTAATTTGTGATGAATGTTTGGTAAGTATTATGATTTTTATCCTTTTTACTTTTCTAATGCAGGCATCTAAAGCTCCCGGTTTACTGTTAACTTGCCTTTTCCTTCTTCCTGTAAGCGTGAATATGTAGTATTTTCATGTTCACTTAAAATGGGTTGTTCCTCGTTTGGTTTTTTAAATAGAACTTTTCTTTTTTTCTTTTTTGTTGATTAGAAAAGCAACATAAAATCATCAAACAATTTTCCAAAGTAAGCGCGCTGAGAACCCAGGCGTGGCATTCGGAAGGCCCAGTGCCTGCGGTACCATCACAGAGACGGCGCTGGGCAGCTGAGTGTGTTTTCTTCCCGACTTTTTCCTTTCTAAAATTCTCATTATTTTAATTGCATGTAGACCATGAGTCTTACATGAAAACAGTCTATTTGGAAATTCTTTACATTATTGAAGGGGGAATTAAAAACAGACTGTCAACTTTTCCACCTGAAAATTTTATGAAAAAGAAAAGCACAAAATCATATAAGTCATGTTTCATGTACTTGTCGGACACGTCTACATTTACCCATGAATCAGGCTGTTTATAAAGCCATAGTGAGGAACACAAAAGGGGTGAATAAAACCCAGAAAGTGATGGAGGGAGACTGTGTGAAGTCTTGAGGAAACACATTTGTGTTCTTGGTAAGCGAACTTCAAACCAACAGATTTAATAAGAGTAAGAATACGCTTAGCCAAGCATGGTGGCGCCTGCCTGTAGTCCTGGTTACCCAGGAGGCTGAGGCAGGAGGATCGATTGATCCTGGGAGGTCAAGGCTGCAGTGAACTGTGATCATGCCACTGCACTCCAGCCTAGGCGACAGAGCGAGACCCGTCTCAGAAAAGGAATCTGTCGAAACTTTAAAAAAACCAAAAGACAAAAAAACCTTTTGAAATGATTACTGTAGACTGAAGAGCATTTTCAGATGCTGAAGTAGGGTTTTTGTTTTGTTTTGAGACAGCGTCTCGCTCTGTCACCCAGGCTGGAGTGCATGGCATTGTCACGGCTCCCTGCAGCCTCAAACTCCTAGGCTCAGGTGATCCTCCCGGCTCAGCCGCCTGAGTAGCTGGGGCTGCGGGCTCATGCCACCACATCTGGCTAATTTTTAAATTTTTTGGAGAGATGGGGTCTGGCCATTTTGTTCAGGCTGATCTTGAACTCTGGTCTCAAGTGATTCTCCCACCTCAGCCTCCCAAAGTGCTAGAATTATAGGTGCGAGCCACCGTGCCTGGCCGAAGAACAGTTTTTAAGATTTTACCAGATATATTAGTCTTAGGTACAGCATTCTAGTTAAAAAATAAACAGAAGAATTATGTTTCTCTGGTGCTATTAGATGTTCTGCTTTGGTGTCTTATACGTCAGGCGTCCACACGGCAGGTGGACTTGGGGTAAGTGTGTCTTGCTCTGCCTCACTTGCTGCTTTCAGGGAGATTTCTGGGTCTCACATAGCCATCGTGAAGTTGGCTGTATAAATATTTATAAACTGCAAAAGCAGTAAGAAAGCTCATGCAATTGTAAAAGTCATGCTTGGTTTGTGCCCTTCAATTGTTTAGTCAGAAAGTAATAAAGCACAGTGTAATTACAAAATTACTGTCTGGAAACAGGGAAGTAATGAGCCCTGGCACCATTTTTCTGTCCCAGGAATTACTTTGGAAGCTCTTTGTCGTGTGATTATGTTCCGTCAAAGTCTTCCAGGCTGTTTCTGTGAATGGTAATTCACTGCGCCTTTGCTGTGAACAATATGGGATTTGGGCTACGACCTCTTGTAACTTCTTTTCTAGTTGATACCGCGCCTGCTTTCCTGAGTCGTTTTCTTCTTTCCCATTTGAATTCCATCACAGGAGGGTGTGCCAGGGTGGATGCGTGTGTGTTTCGAGTCAGGTGCATCCCTGTCCTCCAGAGGATGACGGTCTGATTGGGAGTCAGATGCAGGCACAGTTCCATTGACTGCGGCTTTGGAGAAGACGTTTTGGGGCAGGACAGCTGCAGGGCAGGAACGCGGGGGGGCGTAGGAGAGGTGCCGTGGGCGAGGAGGAGCAGCCCCTGGCATATGCCAGGCAGAGGAGGCTTGGTGCCGCCCTCAGAAGGCCGTCCTTGTTGCCGTGTCCCCCGCAGGTGATCGCCATGATCAAAGGCCTGCAGGTGCTGATGGGCAGGATGGAGAGCGTGTTCAACCACGCCGTCCGGCACACCGTGTACGCCGCACTGCAGGACTTCTCCCAGGTGACCCTCCGGGAGCCGCTGCGGCAGGCCATCAAGAAAAAGAAGAATGTCATCCAGAGGTCAGCCTTCCCTACGCCCTGAGCCCGCTGTGCCCACACGTCCTCAGATGCACTCGGGTTCAAACAACAGGAGCGTTAAATTCTCAAAAATGATTTCTGCACATTTATCTTCAACCTCCAGATGCTCTTGGTGAATTACCTCTAAAAGTAATGCATGAGTCCAATGATTAACCAAACAATGGACAGTAAGTCAACTGCAGAGTGTCTAGGGAGTCCGAGGACCCCGGGACAAGGTGCATTTATCCCAGGCTCACAGTGCCTGTGGGGGTCTCTGCGCGGTGGAGCCCTGTTGGTGACGAGGCTGTGTTCCAAACCAGTCGAGAGGCATGCCCAGGCTCCAGTCATGTGGTGACTTCATGTCCCTGTTGGTTACTGGGGACAGCCAGCTGCAGGCAGGTGGGACCGAGCTCTGCTCTGGCCGGAGGCTATGTTCTACCCTCTCCCTGCCCCCAGCGTGACTCGGAGCCACCTCACTGCTGCCCTGGGCTAACAGATGCGAACTGCAGCCCCTGGGCTAACAGAGGCGAACTGCAGCTCGGGGCAGTCTTCTGGGAGTAGTGATACTCTCCAGAAGGCAGGCTCCTTTTAAACCTTCCTGTTGGGCCGGTCCATTACCACATCCCTCCGTGGCCCCCGGAGTAATTTGTATTTTCATGGGGGCTGTTCTGAGAGCCTGGTAGTTGGGCAAGGAGATGGTGTGATGGTGAGGCTGGGGGTCTTGGCCTCCGGGCCTTGCTGATCACTTGGTGGGGTGTTCAGTGTCCTGCAGGCCATCAGGAAGACCGTGTGCGACTGGGAGACGGGGCACGAGCCCTTCAATGACCCAGCCTTGCGGGGTGAGAAGGACCCTAAGAGCGGCTTCGACATAAAAGTGCCGCGCCGCGCCGTGGGACCCTCCAGCACCCAGGTTCTCGTCCCTTGAGCCCGCCTGCGCTCTCTCCCTGGGGACCCACCCCGAGCTGCGAGCGGGTGGGGCTGGTGAGGCGGGGGTTAACTGAGGTCCCCGCTGCCCGCTCAGGCAGGGAAAGTGGCGCCTGCCTGTGGTTTCTGCTGCTCCTCTGTTTCCTGCCCAAGTGAGTCGGGAGCGTGAGCGAGCCGTGCCTTGATTGTCAGATGTGTCACGTGCACTAAGAAGGAGTCTGACTCCATTTCACCTCCTGTCCCAAAAACGTGGGCACACGTCCACGTGTTCGTATTCATTCTGTGTTTCTTGATGGGTGTTTGAATGTCTATAATCTTTACGTTGGGTCTGCAAATGACCCTCCTACAGATGGGGCGTGGGAAACTGAGGTGCTGCTTGCGTGTCCTCTTGTCGTGGTCCTGAGCTGCCCACTGTCCTCTCTCCTGGTGTGTTCAGGCCTCCCCGAGGTGCTTCTCATGACTTTCACACTGGTTTAATCCGCACCACTGCGTCTGTCCTCCGTCCTGGGGCTGGTCTTCTCCCTCATCCCTGCTGGAGGCTTTTAATCTCTTCTGCCACGCTTCTGGAAAGTCACCAGCAGTGCACGCTGCTGGCTCTGCAGGAGGGTCAGGGGGACGGCCCTCGGCCTGTGCGTGGTGCCAGCCACCCTCCCGCCTCCCTCTGCGTGCGTCCCGTGTCCCTGCCTGGGGTGTGTGTGTCGCGTGACTAACGTGTCTCTCCTGCCTCTCCCTCCTGTCTGTCCGTGTCTAGCTCTACCTGGTGCGCACCATGGCTGAGTCCTTGGGCTCTGCCGAGCTGCTCAGGCAGCTCAAGTCTCTGGGCATGGAGAGGCTCTTGCATGCGGTTAACACGTTTCTGAGGCAATCGTGCACCTACCTACCCCTTTTAACCTTTGGTGGTAAGACATCATTTGTTTCTCTTGACGTTTGTGGCACGGAGGCGAGCGGCTCTGCGGCGAGCTGTTCTTTCCCCGAAGCAACAGCAACGTGGCCGCGTAGACAGGCGCCCGGACCCCTCGGGGAGCTGGTGCGGGGCCCTCCCGGCCAGGGCATAGCAGAGCAGTCCTTCTCTCGTGGGCTTTCGGAGTTTGGCGTAACTAATGTACCATGTATATTTTCTCCCCTACAAATGTTTCCTTGGATAATCCAGCTTTACATGGTGAGAACCATGCTAGAGTCCCTCATTGCAGACAAAAGTGGTTCCAAGAAAACCTTGAGAAGTAGCCTTGAGGGGCCCACCATATTGGACATAGAAAAATTTCATCGAGAGTCATTCTTCTACACTCACTTGATAAATTTCAGTGGTAAGAGATACTGCTGACAGCATCCGGCCCAGCATGTCCTAACACCACTAACACCATCTAGTGCTTCTGCCTGCCTGACCACCCCGCCCCGTCCCTTGGTGCACCCAGACGGTGACTCGTCCTGCCCTCTGTGGCAGCAGCTGCACGTCCCTGGCCTGAGCTCGCCCCACAGGGCGTGGCCCCTACAAGGGTATGAGCTGAGGAGCCTGGGCTGGCCCTGCGACATGAACAGAAAGTCTTTTCAACCGTGCGGAGTCAGAAACACAGGCAAATGTAATCTGGTGCCTGCGTTGAGACACAGGCATTGATAAATACCAGAAATGGCCCCCGCAGTCCATGACGTGGGGGAAGGTAGCAGGTGCCCTGTGCCAGGCAAGCCCATCCTGGGTGACGCCCGGCCACCTTGACCGGCCAGCTTGACTGGCCACCGGTGGGTGCGCTCTCTGCCCTCCGTGTGTCTGCCCCGTGTCCTCATCGAGTCGTCTGTGTCCACCTCTTGCTCAGAACAGGAACCTGCTGTCTTGGCTGGGGTGCTGCAGGTGTTGGAGGAAATCGTGCCACTTTTGCTGTTAACTCCATGAAAGGATGGAGTTCGAGCGTGGGCTCTTGTAATCTGTCTCATTTTTGTATTAGCCAGACCTCCCTGAGGGTGCCTCTAATGCTGCAGCCTGGACACTGGTTTTTCTCCTAAGCGCAAGTAAAGAAGTCCTGTTTGTGTTTTTGTTTTTTGAGATGAAGTCTTGCTCTGTCGCCCAGGCTAGAGTACAGTGGGGCGGTCTCAGCTCATTGCAACCTCTGCCTCCCAGGTTCAAGAGATTCTCCTCCCTCAGCCTCCCGAGTATCTGGGATTACAGGCGCCCGCCACTGCGCCCGGCTAGTTTTGTATTTTTGGTTGAGACGGGGTTTCACCATGTTAGCCAAGATGGTCTCGATCTCCTGACCTTGTGATCCACCCGCCTCGGCCTCCCAAAGTGCTGGGATTACTGGCGTGAGCCACTGTGCCCGGCCAGAAGTCCTGTTTTTATGTCTCCTTTTGAAAAGAACATTTTTAGGTAAAACAGTGGCTCACACCTGTTAATCCTAACCCTTTGGACAGCCAAGGCAGGAGAATCACTTGAAGCCGGGAGTTTGAGACCAGCCTGGGCAACATGACGAGACCCCCATCCCTACAAAAAATACAAAAATCAGCTAGGTTTGGTGGCACGTGCCTGTGTTCTCAACTACTCCGGAGGCTGAGGCAGGAGGATGGCTTGAGCCCAGGAGTTGAAGGCTGCAGTGAGCTATGATCATGCCACTGCACTCCAGCCTGGGTGACAGAGTGAGAGAGACTCTGTCTTAAAAAAAAAAAAAAAAAAAGACACTTTCTCCTGGATCCCACTGAAGGGCTAACAGGGTTGATGAGGTGGCTTTACCTGCAGCCATGCCCAGCTGGTCCTGTACCTAGTGCAAGGCCCCGGTGACCCCTCCGCACTCATGTCCATGCTGCATGGCTTGGGGCTGAGTGAGGAGGAGCAGGCACCCAATACACAGCCCCTTGTGTCATCTCTGCTAAAGATTTTTTTTTTTTGCTTGCGGGAAATAACATGGTGTTGTTTGAACCCTCCCAGAAACACTGCAGCAGTGCTGTGACCTTTCGCAGCTGTGGTTCCGAGAGTTCTTCCTGGAGCTGACCATGGGCAGGAGGATCCAGTTCCCCATTGAGATGTCAATGCCCTGGATCCTGACGGACCACATCCTGGAGACCAAGGAGGCGTCCATGATGGAGTGCGTGTCGGGGGGCCGGTCTCCAGCCTTTGAGTGTGGTGACCAGGGGTCTCAAAAGAGGTGGAGGAGGACGGGACTGTTTTATTTGAAATCACGTTTCTGGGCCTGCGCAAATAACAAGACCCCAATCTCCACAAAAATAAGACCGGGCGTGGTGGCTCACACCTGTAATCCCAACACTTTGGGAGGCCGAGGTGGGCGGATTACGAGGGCAGGAGATCGAGACCATCCTGGCTAACACGGTGAAACCCCGTCTCTACTAAAAATACAAAAAAAATTAGCCGGGCATGGCGGCGGGCGCCTGTAGTCCCAGCTGCTGGGGAGGCTAAGACAGCAAAATGGCGTGAACCTGGGAGGCGGGGCTTGCAGTGAGCCAAGATCATGCCACTGCACTGCAGCCTGGCAACAGAGCGAGACTCCCTCCCAAAAAAAAAAAAAAATGGAGAAAACTTATCCTGGTGTGCTGGCTGATGCAGGACGATTCCTTTACCACAGAAGTTTGTGGCTGCGCTGAGCTATGGATTGCACCACTGCATGCCAGCCTGGCCACATAGCAAGACCTTGTCTCCAAAAAAAAAAAAAAGTCATGTTTCCTGGGGTAAAGCTTCAGAGATTAATACGAGTAACTAACCAGTTTCTTAGCGTCAGACTGGAATTGAGAGCTCAGGCACTAGAACCAGGCACGTTCGTCCTTTGCATGGGTGCTGGCTGGGGCCCGGGGACTCAGCCTGGACCAGGGAGATGGATGAACCTGGAGCTTCCCCAGGCCTTTGTAGTGCAGGCCCTGTGAGGTGGCCATGCCCGGGAGCTGTCACGTGGGGGTCCTGTGGCCGGCCTCTTGTATGACGCAGCCTCTGACCCAGATGAAGTGGGGAAAGGAGGTATTGATCGAACAGCTTTGTTTTGGGGGTCAGAACTCTGGACCTAGATGGAAGGGTCAGTCTTTCAAAATATGAAGTCCATGGAAGGGAAAGTGTTTGGAAAAGGGTGTGTCTCATGGTGGGCGACTGGGGAGCTGCCCAGCAGGTCCATCTTCTGAGCACCATGAGTGGGAAGCCCCTGAGTTCCTCGTGCGTCAGTCCTCACACATCCCTCGTGGTGCCCAGGAGATGGTAAGGGCAGCCACCTTCCACTCTCTGTGGCTGTGGCATGGCCATGCCATCTGTGTGGGCAGAGTCTGTGATGGCTCGTCCCACAGCATTGGGGTGGCGTGAGGAGCTGGAAGGAGGCCTCCTTCAGGCATGCACCTCCTTGCCCCCGGCCATGGCCCTTGTCCAGGTATGAGGCAGTGGGAGACAGGCCTTCAGCCATGGGCCCATGCTGGACATGCTCCTGGTCAGCTGTGGGATCCAGGACCTTCACCTTTGTTTTTGTTTTTAAATGTTTGAGGCTGTCTGTGTATTTCCGTCGGTGTAATTTTTTCTTTTTTTCTTTTTTTCGAGGCAAAGCTTTGCTCTGTTGCCCAGGTTGGAGTGCAGTGGCACAATCTCAGTTCACTGCAACCTCCGCCTCCCAGGTTCAAGCAATTCTTCAGCCTCAGCATCCCAAGTAATTGGGCACGAGCCACCACGCCTGGCTAATTTTTGTATTTTTAGTAGAGATGAGTTTCATCATGTTGGCCAGGCTGGTCTCAAACTCCCGACCTCAAGTGATCCGCCCACCTCGGCCTCCCAAAGTGCTGGGATTACAGGCATGAGCCACCGCGCCCGACCACCTTTGTTCTTTTCCAGTCAGCTCATTCGTCCCTCTCCCCGCCCCCAACAGAGACAAGGTCTTGCTTTATTGCCCAGGCTGGAGTGCACTGGTGCAAAGACAGCTCACTGCAGCTTCAACCTTCCAGGCTCAGGCGATCCCCCTGCCTCAGCCTCCTGAGTAGCTGGGACTACAGGCATGTGCCATCACACCTGGCTAATTGTTTTGTGTTTCATGGAGATGGGGTCTTGCAGTGTTGTCCAACCTGGTCTCAAACTCCTGGCCTCATGTTATCTTCCTGCCTGGTCCACCTAAAGTGCCGGAGTTCATTCTCTATCTTTTTTTTTTTGGACAGGGTCTCACTCTGTCACATAGGCTAGAGTGCAGTGGCATGATCTCGGCTCATTGCAGCCTCGACCTCTCAGGCTCAAGTGATCCTTCTATGCTCAGCCTCCCAAGTAGCTGGGACTACAGGCATGCGCCATCACACCCTGATAGTTTTTTGTAGTTTTGTTACAGACGGTGCCTTGCCGTATTGCTCACCTGGTCTCGATCTCCTGACCTCGTGATCCGCCCACCTCAGCTCCACAAAGTGCTGGGATTGCAGCCGTGAGCCACCAAGCCTGGCCCTTGGAGTTCATTCTTGAAATAAAAAAATAGCTCAATTTTCTTGTTGTTAAAAAAGAAACGCTATGTACTTGTAGTGAAATATTTTAAAGGCTGCTAAGTGAGAAGATGCAGGCAGGTGGAGGCCCTTGTCCGCGCGTGGCCTTGAGTGGGTGTCCCCAGGTGTCCTCACAGCCTGGTGGGTGTGGCAGCCACCTCAGGCGCGGCCACCGGGCCGTTCACAGGTGCACTGTGTGATGTTTGAAGTGAAAATTGTTTTTCCTTACGTGAGAGGTGAAAAGCGGAGTGGAGTTTCTGAGGCAGGGGGAGGCTGCTGGTGACTGCTGTGTCCTCTGCAGGTACGTGCTCTACTCCCTGGACCTGTACAATGACAGCGCCCACTACGCGCTCACCAGGTTCAACAAGCAGTTCCTCTACGACGAGATCGAGGCCGAGGTGAGGCCCATGCGGCTCCATGTCTGTTCATTTCTCGCAATTAAATCTCCTTTCTCATTTTGTTTTCTTCCAAGTATTAAACTTTCCTTAAACATAAGACAACGTAAACCGAGAAGCAAGCACGTGGGAGCGAGCCCTTCCTCTGTGGATCTGCTCCCGCGCTCAGTGTGGGATGTGCTTTTTCACTTGACCGCATGTCACTGCGGTGTCTGCGTCCTCATCTGTTTTCGGTTATGATCTTTGCCCTGAAGCAACTCCTGTTGGATTTCTCTGCTTTTTTGGTGTTGGATTTTGTACATAGCACTCTGCTGCACCCCCTGGCACGTTTTTATTTGCATTGCGTGACTTCTATAGGACCAATCCCCACAGGTGGAATTCTCAGGTTAGCGTGTGCACATATAAGGAGATGAACCTTATTCTCCATGTCGCCGCCTCTGCCGTCTCACAAAGACCACCTGAAAATGGGGCTTCAGGGAGATGTCGCAGGTCCCCGGCCCTGCAGGATGGGAGGAGGGCAGAGATGCCCTTCTTGACCCTGTCTGCCGGGCACCCTGGGTCCTGGGTCCCACTTGCCACCAAGCACAGGTGTTCTCCTCACAGTTCCAGGAGGTAGTGCTAGTCCCATCTGCAAGTAAGGGTCTTTTGGGGGTGTCTCCTGACCAATCTCACACCCAGAACAGCCGCTGTGCTCCAGAGAAGGCCCAGGGGCGGCCCTCAGTGGTGTCTCCTGGAGTGCACAGTAGGTGGAGCTGTCCCAGGCAGGGACCCACGTGCAGTGCACAGTAGTGCCTCGTGGTCACTGCACACGGTGAAGAGAGACTTGCGGTGGTGCGATCTGGGTCACTGTAACCTCCGCTTCCCGAGTTCAAGCGATTCTCATGCTTAGCCTCCCTGGTAGCTGGGACCACAGGTGCATGCCACCACACCAGGCTAGTTTTTTGTGTTTTTAGTAGAGATGGGGTTTTGCCATGTTGGCGGGGCTGGTGAACTCCTGACCTCAAGTGATTTGCCCACCCCGGCCTTGCAAAGTGCTGGGATTACAGGTGTGAGCCACCACGCCTGGCCTAGTTTCTTTTTCCTAATAAGAGCCTCAGGCCGGGTGCAGTGGCTCACGCCTGCAATCATGGCACTTTGGGAAGCCGAGGCAGGTGGATCACCTGAGGTCACGAATCCGAGACCAGCCTGACCAACATGGTGAAACCTCATCTCTACTAAAAATACAAAAATTAGCCCAGTATGGTGCCGGGCACCTGTAATCCCAACTACTCAGGAGGCTGAGGCAGGAAAATCACTTGAAGCTGGGAGGCAGAGCTTGCAGTGAGCCGAGATCGCACTGCTACACCCCAGCCTGGGTGACAGAGCAGGACTCATCTCAAAAAAACAAAAAAGCCTCAGTTAGTTGCCTTAACGAAACATTTTGTTTTTCAGCTTGTTATTTGATCTTGCTTTAGGGAATCACACTGTAACGTGTGCTTTCTTTTTCTTCAGGTGAATCTATGTTTTGACCAATTTGTTTACAAGCTAGCAGACCAGATATTTGCATATTATAAGGTTATGGCAGGAAGGTGAGTATCTGGTGTGTGATTTTGATACAAAACGTTTCATAATTTGATCTGACATTCCCATTACAATTTGTAGTGTATGAAAAACTTTGTCTTCTTTCTGTACTAGTTTGCTTCTTGATAAACGGTTACGATCAGAATGCAAGAATCAGGGAGCCACGATCCACCTCCCGCCGTCTAACCGCTACGAAACGCTGCTGAAGCAGAGGCATGTGCAGGTGAGCTGGGCCGGGCTGAGGTGAAGACTAGAGTGTACGTTGGAAAGACTGAGTTTTCAGCTGGGTGCGGTGGCTCACGCCTGTAATCCCAGCACTTTGGGAGGCCAAGGCGGGCAGATCACCTGAGGTCAGGAGTTCGAGACCAGCCTGTCCAACATGGCGAAACCGTCTCTCCTAAAAATACAAAAACTAGCTGGGCGTGGTGGTGCACGCCTGTAGTCCCAGCTGCTCTGGGATGCTGAGGCAGGAGAATCACCTGAACCCGGGAGGTGGAGGTTGCAGTGAGCTGAGATTGCACCACTGTACTTCAGCCTGGGTGACAGTTTTTTTTGAGACAGAGCCGTCTCAAAAAAAAAGAAAAAAAAAATTGAAATTTCTTATAGCTAAGTAGGTTTTACTAGATATCAGCATGGCTTGTGACTGTGAACGTCCTTATAAATTGTTAGGCATAGGCCGGGCGCGGTGGCTCAAGCCTGTAATCCCAGCACTTTGGGAGGCCGAGACGGGCGGATCACGAGGTCAGAAGATCGAGACCATCCTGGCTAACACGGTGAAACCCCATCTCTACTAAAAAATACAAAAAACTAGCCGGGCGAGGTGGCGGGCGCCTGTAGTCCCAACTACTCGGGAGGCTGAGGCAGGAGAATGGCGTAAACCCAGGAGGCGGAGCTTGCAGTGAGCTGAGATCCGGCCACTGCACTCCAGCCTGGGCGACAGAGCAAGACTCCGTCTCCAAAAAAAAAATAAAATAAAATAAAATAAATAAATAAATTGTTAGGCATAGAAAGACACGCCCTTTCTGCTGGGTCACCTCACACACAGGGAACACCTGCAGCATTCTCTGCCTGCCCTGCGGCTCCTGGGGGCAGGCGTAGCCCGGAGCGGTCAGCCCTTCTCCAGGAGCCCAAAAGCCAGAGCTTAAAAAGAATGAAGGCCGGGCACGGTGGCTCACGCCTGTAATCCCAGCACTTTGGGAGGCCAAGGCAGGCAGATCACAAAGTCAGGAGATCGAGACCATCCTGGCTAACACAGTGAAACCCCGTCTGTACTAAAAATACAAAGAATTAGCCAGGCGTGGTGGCGGCACCTGTAGTCCCAGCTACTGGGGAGGCTGAGGCAGGAGAATGGCGTGAACCTGGGAGGCGGAGCTTGCAGTGAGCCGAGATCGCACCACTGCACTCCAGCCTGGGCGACAGAGCGAGACTCCGTCTCAAAAAAAAAAATAATAAAAGTAAATAAATAAAAGAATGAAGGTGAGAGGCACTCATCAGTTCAGAGCATCAGGGAAAACTTTCTCCTGGCCAGCAGAAAGAATTTAAAGATATACGGTGCTTATTTTTTACTGCTTTTAAAAAAATGATACACATTGCATGCCTGTATGAAAACATGTCATGTTACCCCATAAATATGTACCCTTACTACGTACCCACAAACATTAAAAAAAGAAAAATAGTTAAAAGTGATGTTACATCACACACATACAACTAGTAAAATGTGGAAAACTGTAAAATAAAATTGCACTTAATTCTACTGTCTGTACACCAATAATCACCATGCACGTTTTTTGACTTTTTTCACCAGGGCTTTGTCATGTTTTTATGTTGTCAGAATAACACTTAAGGGTGAATATGTTCCTACTGTGTTGAAATAGGGAATAATTTTCTCTTATCATCGTAACACCTGTAAAAAGACACACACAGGCTGCCGTGTACACGGGGAGATGGGTCCTGAACGGGCCCTGAACATGGTTGTAAAGGGTGTTGTTATTGACAGACCGGCTTCTCCAGGGTCTCTGGTGAGGCTTTGGTTGTGTTTGAGCTGCTCATGTCCGCTCTTTCCCTGTGTACACCAGCTCCTCGGCAGGTCGATAGACCTCAATCGTCTGATCACGCAGCGTGTCTCAGCAGCCGTGTATAAGTCCTTGGAACTGGCGATTGGACGATTTGAAAGTGAAGATTTGACCTCCATAGTTGTAAGTAATTTTACTTTGCGCTATTGATAAATTGGACTAAGGGTAGGTCCAGTTCTTGTATAGATAATAAAAGAGATGCGCTCACTGAGCATGGCGTATACCAAGCCTCTTTTGCAGCACCTACACTCATGTTCACGATGCTAAACTGACTTTAACAAACACGTAACCCCAGTCTTGAAAAGAATCGTCAACTATGGCGAAAGGTAGCGCACCACTTAATAAGATGTTTACATTTTAGTATTAACGACCTAGGAGATAAAAATGTTTAACTTTGGCCAGTACGGTGGCTCATGCCTGTAATCCCAGCACTTTGGGAGGCTGAGGCGGGTGGATCATTTGGGCTCAGGAGTTCAAGACCAGCTTGGCCAGCATAGTGAAACCCCATCTCTACTAAAACTACAAAAATTAGCTGGGTGTGATGGTGTGCACCTGTATTCCCAGCTACTCGGGAAGCTGAGGCAGGAGGATTGCTTGAATCCAGGAGGCGGAGGTTGCAGTGAGCCGAGATTGTGCCACTGCACTCCAGCCTGGAAGACACAGCAAGACTCCATCTCAAGGGAAAAAAAAAAAAAGAAATGTCTTCTTTAGGGACCAAGAGAGCCCATAAGACTCTTCCTGCTAATTCCTCTACCCCTACATTTTGCTCGGCTGTCTCAGTTCATCTCAGCTCCAGGTAAGGTCTAATCCTTCTCCTGTTACCTGGACCTTCAGGTTTCCCAGTGAGGATGTGTGTTCGGGGCCAGTGTCCCCCCTCACCCTCTCTGGGCCCTCAGCCATTTTTCGGCTGTCTCACGGAGCCTGCAGGGCAAACCGCTTCCTTCAGAGGGTCTGTGGATTCTCCTGGCTTTCCTGGTATGTCCCTGTGGTATTTCTTGAAGCAAAAGTTTGCAGTGTGAGTCTTCACTTGCTGCTCTGTTCGTCGGAGTGGGAGCTGTAGGTTAGACCCGCCTCTGTCTGCCATTTTTCCTGTGTCTCTATCAGAATTTGAACACAGGAAGGGGCAAGACTAAGGAGCAGGAAAACAGGCATTAAAAACATCTGAACTGCCAGGCCCGGTGGCTCACGCCTGTAATCCCAGCACTTTGGGAGGCCGAGGCGGGCGGATCACAAGGTCAGGAGATCGAGACCATCCTGGCTAACACAGTGAAACCCCATCTCTACTAAAAAATACAAAAAATTAGCCGGGCGCGGTGGCGGGCGCCTGTAGTCCCAGCTACTCAGGAGGCTGAGGCAGGAGAATGGCCTGAACCCGGGGGGCGGAGCTTGCAGTGAGCCGAGGTCTCACCACTGCACTCCAGCCTGGGCGACAGAGCGAGACTCCGTCTCAAAAAAAAAAAAAAAAAGGCCGGGCGCGGTGGCTGGCCGGAGGGAGCTGCGTAGGTTAGACTACTTCTGTCTGACATTTTTCCCGTGTCTCTACTGTGAATTAACACAGGAAGGGTGACTCAAGGAGCAGGAAAACAGCATTAAAAACATCTGAACTGCCAGGCCCGGGTGGCTCACGCCTGTAATCCCAGCACTTTGGGAGGCTGAGGCGGGCGGATCACAAGGTCAGGAGATCGAGACCATCCTGGCTAACACAGTGAAACCCCATCTCTACTAAAAATACAAAAATTAGCCGGGCGCGGTGGCGGGCGCCTGTAGTCCCAGCTACTCAGGAGGCTGAGGCAGGAGAATGGCCTGAACCCGGGGTTGAGCTGCAGTGAGCCGAGGTCTCACCACTGCACTCCAGCCTGGGCGACAGAGCGAGACTCCGTCTCAAAAAAAAAAAAAAAAAAAGGCTGGGCGTGTGGGCCAGCTCAAGCCCGGTAATCCCAGCACTTTGGGAGGCCGAGACGGGCGGATCACGAGGCTTGTGAGATCGAGACCATCCTGGCTAACCCGGTGAAACCCCGTCTCTACTAAAAACACAAAAAACTAGCCGGGCGAGGTGGCAGGCGCCTGTAGTCCCCGCTACTCGGGAGGCTGAGGCAGGAGAATGGCGTGAATCCGGGAGGCGGAGCTTGCAGTGAGCTGAGACCCGGCCACTGCACTCCAGCCCTGGCGACAGAGCAAGACTCTGTCTCAAAAAAAAAAAAAAAAAAAAAAAAAAATCTGAACTGGGGAACAGAGAAAAGTAAAAATGGATGAAACAGAAAAGAGCATAAGAAAGTGGATAACAGTGGAAAGACCTAACGTGTAACTGGAGTGTTAGAGGAGGTGAGAGAGCGTGGCATCACGGAAGAGTTGTCTGAAGAGAAGATGGCAGAAAGACCTTAACATGGGCAGAAGACACCAGCCTGCCACTGAGGTGTGCCACCCAGCTGCACATGCTGGAGCCAGGGCCGGAGCCACAGGGGGACCTCAGTGAGCGGGCCCCCCGAGCCACAGCTCTGTGGATCTGACTACCCCCAACTCTGACCCTCGGCCTGTGGTGCCTTTGAATCTTTAGGATGTAATCAGAGCTAGTATGAGTAAGCCTGAACGGGCTGGTTGTCTTCCCTTCTCCAGTGCACGGTCATTGGTGCATGGCCACACGTCCGTTTCTATTGGGGGAACAAGGGGAGGGTTTACACTGTGCATTTTCTAACAAAATGTACGAGGTCCTTTCTCCCCTTCACCCAAGGAGCTCTGGGTCCGAGAACTGGTTGAAGAGCCATGATTCTTTTGTGATGATTGAAGTTAGACTTGTATTGGGTAGGCCTAGGGCTTTTCCCTTTATCCAGACCAAATGGGACTTCCGAAGGCTGGTGCCAGCCCTGGGGATACCACCGTCTGCTAGTCCACACTGGCACTCCTGTGGGTCCAGCCATTTGAGTACACATGGGTTGTGCTGCCCACCCCCTGGCACCATTGGAGTCAAGGAGCCCCGGCTGATGGCCGACAGAGAATAACTTAGAACTCTTCAAAGATGCCTTAGGTGAGATCAGGTTTGAAGCTGCTGACTCTGGAATTGAGTAAATCAAAATTCCCTCCGAAGACAAAGCTGCCCGTGGGAGAAGCTGCTGGGAATAGCATGTAAGCTGTAAGGGTTAGGGTCGTGGCGGAGGGGAGCCTGAGAGGCAGGTCTCAGAAGGCTTGAGCCAGGGCTGTTACTATTGGCCCTGACCAGCCCGTCTTCCTCTTCAGAAGCGTGAGGGAGCTTATTTCACTTCCAGTCGAGCCGCAGGTAAGGATCATGGTCCAATCTCCTTTAGACGTATTACAGCAAAGAAGAAAATGGAAGTGCACAGCGTTGTCCCTGCAGGCAGCGGAGGCACACCAGAGACACCCACGGACCGTGCAGACTGGAACCTCGTTTTTCACAGTCACCTAAAAGAGATTAAGCAAGTAGTAGCTGCTGTGAAAGAATAATATAAATCAGAATTTTTAGAAATCCAGAAATACGCTAGGCACGGTAGCTCACACCTGTAATCCCAGCACTTTTGGAGGCCGAGGTGGGTGGATTGCCTGAGGTCAGGAATTTAAGACCAGGCTGGCCAACATGGTGAAGCCTGTGTCTACTAAAAATACAAAAATTGGCAGGCGTGGTGGTGGACACCTGTAATCCCAGTTACTCGGGAAGCTGAGGCAGGAGAATTGCTTGAACCTGGGAGGCAGAGGTTGCAGTGAGCCAAGATTGTGCCATTGCACTCCAGCCTGGTTGACAGAGCAAGACTCTGTCTCAAAAAAAAAAAAAAAAAAATCCAGAAATAAACATAGGAAAAGAAGTTTTGAAAAAAAAAAAAAAAAAAATCCAGAAATAAGCTTATAGGAAAAAAGAAAGTTTTGAAAAGAGAAATCATGAAAACTCATGAAAAAAATTGAAAAGAAAAAGAGATTTCAAAACCACAGACCTACACCAGAAATAACACAATGGATGATGACTTAGAAATAAGAATGAAGGCTGGGCGCAGTGGCTCATGCCTGTAATCCCAGCACTTTAGGAGGCCGAGGTGGGCGGATCATAAGGGCAGGAGATCGAGACCATCCTGGCTAACACTGTGAAACCCCGCCTCTACTAAAAACACAAAAAAATTAGCCGGGCGTGGTGGCTGGCGCCTGTAGTCCCAGCTACTCGGGAGCTTGCAGTGAGCTGAGATCATGTCCCTGCACTCCAGCCTGGGTGACAGAGCGAGACTCCGTCTCCAAAAAAAAAAAAAAGTACATTTTTAAAAGCAAAAAGAAATTAAAGCAAATCTGAGAGGAAATGATGCTGTCAAATGATCACATGATGGAGGATGAAGAGTCAATGTACCTGTCATACAGGTTCCTCAAGAAGAAAACCAAAGCAACGGAACAGGGCTGACTGGCGTTTACTTCAAGAAAATGTTGGTAAAATAGACACCTTGAAAGTGTCTATTAAAAGCATACATCATGTACTCCGTAAAACCGACCCAAACTGGTCAACACTTAGAAATACTGCATCTTAGACTGGTTGAAGATTAGAAAAAAAATAATATGTTAAAAACGGTATTGCAGTGAAAGTTTTGGACTTTCCAGATGAGGAAGAAGTCCTTGGGCTGTCTGAGCAGGGCAGGCGGGGAAGGAAAATCCGATTGTCCTCGGACCTTCGCCAGAGCTGAGGAAAGGAAGTGTGAGTCGAGGGTTTGGTCGCCGGTCAAATCGACCTTCTGAGAATAAAGGCTACAGACAGATGGTCACGAATGTGCCAGGGCTCGGAGGATTGTTCCTTCCTGGAGAACAGACCTGCGCTGGCGGGCACCGTGCGTGTCCCTGTGGGCATCTCCGCACTGCAGAGCAGGGCTCCGCGTGTTCACCGTTGGAGTCAAACGGGTTGGGACTCAGACCTGTAGCGGCCCGTTTTTGCGAGTGTAATTTGGTACAAGCCATGGTGTTCCTGTTGGCATTGGCCAAATATGATTTTGAGTAAAATCATTAGTCAAAGCTTTGACCGAGGCCATTACTGTCCAATAGAAATAGAATGCAAGTCAGATCCGTAATTTGAAATTTTCCCATGGTCACATTAGAAAAGGAAATAGGTGAAGTTATTTTTCATAATGTGTTTAATCCACTGTATCCCATATTATCAGCTCACCACGTCATTCCTATGGCATTATAATTGAGGTGGATATTTGCTAGTCTGTTTCATCCTACTCAGTCTTTGAAATCTGGTGTCTCGTGTAGCGCCCCTCAGGTGGTGGCAGCTGTGCTCCGGCCCCACCTGCTACATTGGACAGTGCAGCCTGGACCAGCTCCAGAGCAGCACATGTGAGGGCTTACAAGGCCTGTGAGAACGAGCGCACCTGCCCCGCCACCCACACGTGCCTTTCAGTGTCTCCAGGCACCTCCGAGAAAGCTGGCTCAGCTCCGATGCCCAGGGAGATGCAGCCACCGGCTGGGCTTATGCCGCAGGGCGGGGCTGGGCTTATGCCGCAGGGCGGGGCGGGGCTGGGGCTCAACGGGCGCGTGGGGGGAGGGTGGCAGTAGGAGGCCACACGTGCACTGCCCCACAGGGTGCTGGACGGCAGGGGTAGGTGGCGTGGAGGTGACTGCAGTGGAGAAAGGTGTGGCCCAGTGGGAGTGACTGTGAAAAGGTGGGGTGCCCTTCGAGAAGCAAGCTCATGTCACCTGTCAGAGCCTACGCTTGCTGGGACCGTGAGGCCTGGGTGGGATCAGAGGCCACTCAGCGCCTCCTTCCGGCCTGGACCAGCTCTGTCACCTACCCGTCTTTGGTCCCACAGGAGCTGGATGGCCTGTTGGAAATCAACCGCATGACACACAAGCTGCTGAGCCGGTACCTGACGCTGGACAGCTTCGACGCCATGTTCCGGGAGGCCAACCACAATGTGTCAGCGCCCTACGGGAGGATCACCCTGCACGTGTTCTGGGAGCTCAACTACGACTTCCTGCCCAACTACTGCTACAACGGCTCTACCAACCGGTGAGCGTGCCCGCCACACAGGCGCCCACGGGAGGAGCTCAGGGACCCCCGTCCCCGCAGGCTTCCTCCATGGCACCAGGTCCCTGTCTCCCCACTCTTCCCGCTCCCCATCACTTCTCAACACGAAGAGCACGCAGGCCCTCCGGTGTCTCCCGTGTGCACAGGCAGCCTCGGGCCCACCCTCGCGTGGATGGTCGTGGCTTTGCACGTGGGGCTGGAATGGGCTGCGTCTCCTGGCTTTCTGTCTGCCTGATGGTGGAAGTGGGGTGACTGCTTCGCATGCTTCCATGCTGGGATGCTGGGGTGTGGGGGAGCTGCCCTCCCACCCACTGCCCATGGACAACGTGAAGTGATATGATTGGTGGTGAAACGCTGGACGCTGGCAGTATCCTGAGGTTCAGCCTCAGAGTAGGGCCTGAGTCCTGGGACAGCCCTGCCTTGGGCTCCACACACCGGGCAGCGGCCATTCTGGCTGAGGTTCCTTCTCTGGGCAGTGAGTTCAGCTCCTACACAGCATCGGCTCGTGCCAGGGCGTGTGTGTGTCACCCACCATGCCTTCCCATAGACACCAGCAGCCCGGGGGGATGAGTAGGGCACCAAGCAAGGTGCCTGGCCGCCGAGCTCCATCGAGAGGCAGAGGAGTGCAGGTGGCGCACGTGTGTGCACACGTGTGTTGGGAGCGCTTTTACAAATAAGTGCGTGTGCTCGCCCCTGGATCTCTGCGTCCGCCCACATGTGGCTGAATTCTTACCGACTCGTAGGCCCAGAGTTTTGTGTCTTGGGAGACAGATGCTGAGCTCTGATGGCAGAGGAGAGGAGCGGCTGCCCCGCAGCCCAGTCCTGCCTGCCATGGCTGTGGTCCATTCAGGACCCCTGAGTGCAGGGCCACGTTTCCTGTGGGGCTGTGGGTCAGGCCCAGGTGCATTGCGTCACTGAGGCCGTTCTCCAGGGTCGTGGCCACGCACTCGGCTGCAGGTGGCGGCACGTGGCTTGGTTTCCTCAGCTCAGGGGGCCTCCAGGCCGGGCTGGGAATGGTCCATGGAAACCAAACCGTGAAGCCCACCATCTCTGTTTAACTCACCTCTACGGTGTCCATTTTCCTCAACATTTTTTAAAGATGTTTATGCTTGGAATTAATTGAAAAAATATTCTTACACAAGTAATGTATCAAAATTCTAGAAAAATGAGAAATCGTGGATACATAGATGAGAAAAAAATGAGTGAACTCCTCAGAGGTTTCCTTGGTAAAAATGTATTTGTCCTCTAAAGTGAGGTACAGGTGGCCCTCGGCCCCTCCATCCCCTGAGTCTGCACCCCTGCAGCACGTGGCGGTACGGCTGGTTTCTCAGCTCGTGGGGCCTCCAGGCCGGCTGGGAATGGTCCATGGAAACCAAACCGTGAAGCCCACCATCTCTCGCTTAACCCACCTCTACGGTGTCCATTTTCCTCAACATTTTAAAGATGTTTATGCTTGGAATTAATTGAAAAAAATATTCTTTACACAAGTAATGTATCAAAATTCTAGAAAACAGAGAAATCGTGGATACATAGATGAGAAAAATGAGTGAACTCCTCACAGAGGTTTCCTTGGTAAAATGTATTTGTCCTCTAAAGCAGGTACAGGTGGCCCTCGGCCCCTGAGGTCTGCACCCTGCAGCACCACATACACACAGGTGGAGGGGCGGTGGCCCTCGGCCCCTCCATCCCTGAGAGTCTGCACCTCTGCAGCACCACACGTCACAGCAGGGGACACTGCCCCTCCATCCCCGCGTCTGCACCCTGCAAGGCAGCACCACATACGGCCACAGCAGGCAGGGAGGGACACGGTGGCCCTCGGCCCTCCATCCCCGCGCTCTGCACCCTGCAGCACCACACACGTCACAGCAGCAGGGAGGGACGGGTGGCCTCGTCCTCCATCCCCTTGAGTCTGCACTGCAGCACCACACATACGTCACAGCAGCAGGAGGTACGGGTGGCCCTCGGTCCCTCCATCCCCTGCCTGCACCCCTGCAGCACCACACATACGTCACAGCAGCAGGGAGGGGCGGTGGCCTCGGCCCCTCCATCCCCGAGTCTGCACCCTGCAGCACCACATACTGTCACAGCAGCAGGGAGGACGGGTGGCCTCGGTCCCTCCATCCCTGAGAGTCTGCACTCCCTGCAGCACCACATACGTCACAGCAGCAGGGAGGGACGGTGGCCCCTCTGTCCCTCCACTTCGCTGGCTCACACCCCGCAGCACCTCACACACAGGCCACAGCAGGGAGGGGCGTGGTGGCCCCTCGCCCCTCATCCTGAGTCTGCACCCCTGCAGCACCACATATCGTCACAGTAGCAGGAGGACGGGGTGGGCTGCCTCCATCCCCTCAGTGCTTCCACCCCCTGCAGCACCACATACGCCACAGCAGCAGGAGGTGGCCCTCGGTCCCTCCATCCCCGAGAGTCTGCACCCCTGCAGCACCACATACGCCACACAGCAGCAGGGAGGACGGGTGGCCCCTGGCCTCTCCATCCCCCGAGTCTGCACCTCCTGCAGCACCACACACGGCCGCAGCAGCAGGAGGTAATGGGGTACCCCGGTCCCTCCATCCCCTGCTTCTGCACCTCCCTGCAGCACCACACAGCCACAGCAGTGAGGCGGGTGGCCTCGGCCCCTCCATCCCCTGAGTCTGCACCCCTGCAAAGGCACCACATACGTCAGCAGCAGGGAGGTGGACGGTGCCCTCGGTCCCTCCATCCCAGTCTGCACCCCCTGCAGCACCACATACGTCAGCAGCAGAGCAGGGAGGACTTCCAGCTGGGTCCCTCCATCCTTGAGTCTGCACTCTGCACTCACATAAGCATCACAGCAGCAGGAGGGGCGCTGGGCGGCCAGCTACCTCCTTCCCCACACCCCGGGCGGTGACGGGAATGCTCCCGTGTGCAGATCAGCACGGTGCACCCGGTGCCGTGCGTGCAGCTGCTCAGCCGTCTGCTGGGGCCTTACACCCAGGCAGCCGCACTCGTCCCCACTGTGGGCAGCAGGAGGCCCCTGGACACATGGGGGCCCCTGGACGCAGGCAGGCTGGTTCCATCTTATCTGACACCAACTTTGTGTGTGTCACCTGTTTCCTCAAGAGACCCAGAGCTGCTGCCTCTGGCCACACCTGTTGGGCAGAGGTCAGCATGCAGTGACCTGAGCCTCCTGGGGCCCTGGGGCCTGGGGACACTTGAGGTGCAAATCACAGGGAACCCTAGCTTGTCGCAGGGGCATTTTCTGCAGAAGAGCTCCGGTTTACTCAGCACCCTCCACCTTCCATGAGTGGTGGTAGAAGCCATTGTGTCTGCGTTTCCCACAAGTCTTTGGTGGAATCAGCAAAGCCGTGTTATCTGGGAAAGGCATTTTAAAACAGGATTTTGTGTATCCAAGTTCTGTGTCAAATCCTGAGAAGACACACAAAACCATGCCACCCAGAAGTTTAGTCTCGTGCCTGAGGGTTTTCTGAGGGCTGCGTGACGCAAGCCGGGACTCTGCTTGTTGCCTGGACTAACTTGCGGTTCGTGAGCTATCCGTGGTGGCTCTGGGCGGCGACCTAGGTTGTCTGCGACTGGAATTTGACCTGTTGAGTGGATAAACGTGAGACAGTGCTGCAGCTCTGGAGAGAAGCTGGCAAAAGGGTGTTTCCGGGTCCAGAGTTAGGCCTCTTTTCCGGAAGACCATAGATGGAGGGCGTGTCCTCGGCGGGGCGCACCTGGAGCCCAAGGCCACAACTGTCCCCTCACTGCTCATGGTGGCTTCTGTCCCTGGGGTGAGGTGGTGGCTGCCAGGTGTCCCCACTGTCATGTTGCCGTTTTTCTGTTTCAAAGTTATAAATAATTTGTAGGGAAATAATTTGAGATGGTGTAAACAAACTCCCTCATTAAAATTTGACCCAGTTATTTTAACGTCTGTTGATGATTCCTGCCCGAATCACTTATCTTCACACTGGTGGTTGAACAGCAGTGAGGTTTTTTGGGTTTTTCCTGTTTTCGAGACAGAGTCTCACTCAGCCGTCCAGGTTGGAGTGCAGTGGCGCGATCTCGGCTCATTGCAGCCTCCGCCTCCCGAGTTCAAGCAATTCTCCTGCCTCAGCCTCCCGAGTAGCTGGGACTGCAGGTGCATGCCACCATGCCCAGCTAATTTTTATATTTTTAATAGAGACGGGATTTCACTGTGTTGGTCAGGCTGATCTCCAACTCCTGACCTGAGGTGATCTGCCTGCCTCAGCTTCCCAAAGTGCTGGGATTACAGGTATGAGCCACTGTGTCCAGCTGAGTTTTAACTCCTTCATTCTCTCTGCAGGTACTAGCTGGAATTCTGCTGTATGTGGTAGCATTTGTTCATTATTTACTTATTTGTACGAACTCCGGGTTATCCGTTACGTGGAGTTCTGAGGCTGGGGTGGGTGCGGTTTGGGCAGTGTGAGCCGCCTGGTTGGTTTCGGTCTCCTGGGGCCGTCTCTGCCATTCTTTCTGCACCACCAACCTTCGGCACCACAAGGTGTTCCAGGCTCATCTTGTATTTTTCCTGCTTGGTCCTTGCAACCTGTCACTTCTCCAAGGATTCCTTCTAGTGTAGAATGGCATTTAGAGACCGAGTCTGGGTGTGCCAGGGCTCATTGTTCTCGGGGGTGTCACTGTTTCCAGGTGCTCTCAGTGATCGGAGTGAGCACATCCGCATGTGGACTGTCCGAGGTTCCTGTGGCTGCCACATACGAGGTGGCTTAAAGAATAGAAATCTCTTCTCCTACCTATGGCTCTGGAGTCCCGAAGTCTGAATCAAGGTCTGAATCAAGTCTGAATCTCAGAGCAGGACCACGCCCCCTCTGAGACACTGGGTAGAACCGTTATTCGGGTGGTGACCTCAGTTCTGGGTGTCCTTGGCTTGCAGCGGCATCACTCCAGTCTCCTCTCTGTCTTCACTGGCCACTCTCCTTGTGTCTCTGTCTCTTCTCTTCTCACAAGGACTTCAGTCATGTGGG